GAGAGAGAGAGAGAGAGAGAGAGAGGGGGGAGCAAAAGGAAGGGTTAGGGAGGGTGCACTGTCACTTGAGCATCGCGTGACGACCCCGAGACAAAACTCACCTCGATCACGTCCAGCGGCATGTTGGGCTTGGGCGACAGCGCGTACAGGTGCGTCCACGAGCTGGCGTAGCGAGGCATGCCGTACTCGAGCTTCTTGGCCTCGTCGAGGCCGGCGAGCGTGGCGATGTCGTCGCGCTGCACGACGGTGAACCCGGGGCAGCACATGGCGGCGTGCACCAGGCGGCGGCGCAGCTGCTCGTTGAGCAGGTCCTCGGACCGGCCGCCGGCCATGGCGGCGGCGAGCAGCCGGATCAGGTCGCTGCACGCGCGGAAGATGGCGTGGCGCTGCCGGAGCGAGATGAGGCCCGACATGTGCCAGGGGAGCTTGCGCAAGGTGCTGATCATGCACTCGAAGGGGCGCTGCGGGCAGTCGCGCGCGAAGGGGGACTGCGCGCGTCGGCGGTGAAGGCAGCTCGTCGTTAGCCTCTGGAATGATGCTTGGGAGTGTAGCGATAAGGGGCCCCCGGGGACCGTGTGCTCAGTCACTTACACGCTGCGGAACCTCGACGTGCTTGACGAGCATCGTCATCTCCTCCTCGCTGACGAAGCCCTTGAAGTTGTTCCAGGGCTCGCACGAGTTGGCGGGCTGGATGGTCGGGCGCGTGCCCTCCCAGAAGATGCCCTTTGCCAGGGGGAACAGGTCGGCCATCAGGCTTCCCTGCGACGAAAGTTCGACCTCAACGGGGCGATCGCCAAGACGGCTCAGGCGTCCCTTGACCAGCGTCTGATGGTGCCGGTCGACGGCCTTCATGGCATCTTGGAGAGTCAGGAACTCTACGTATGCATCCATGGTCTTGCTAGTAACACGCTCCATTATGATATGGACGGGTTCGAGGTTGTCATTGATGATCTTGGAGTTGCGGCCCAAGAAGGCAATGACCTCGGACCGGCGGGTGGCGAAGGGGATCTACCGCGGCGGGGGGAGGACGGTAATCAGCAGTCAATGGCAAGCCCTGAAAAGTGGGTAAGATTCCCGTGAAGCCCTGGGTATATCAACTCACGTTCTTGAACTTCACGACGCCATAGGTGCATGTCTCGGGCGAGGTTCGCGCGGTCTCGATGAATGGAAAATTGTTGGCATCTAGCGCCTGCTGCACGGTGGGGCGGCCGCTTGGCGACGAGGTCAGATTGTTCAGGAGAGCAGAGCGCTGGGAGCGGATGTGCTCAGGAATCACGTCGCCCCCGAGCTGCGAGGGGGGAGCCATGTGGTGCTGGTGCTGCAGTGCCATGTTGCTGGCGCCGCCCGTCATGCCGCCGTAGCCAGGGTCGTGGTATGCCGCAAGCGAGCCGTGGCCATCATTAACATTTCCGTTGAAATGGCCATTGTTGGCGACGAAAGGGCCTTGGAACTGCTGAACACCAGCAACGCCGGGGCCGTTGTAGAGCAGGGGCACGGCACCGGCAGGCGGCGGGCACGGGGGCTGGCCGTAGTGATAGCCGTAGTTCTGGGCGCCGGCCATGTCATTGCCGTTGCCGTAGGCGACCGGCTCGGGAGACTCCGTCTTCTGGCTGGCGGTGGAGAACAGACTATTGCTGTCGCCATAGCTCATGTTCGACTGGGCGTCGAACTGAGGAGCCGCGACCGGGCGCGTGGCATACTGGTGGCTCTGCTGCGGCGGGCTCTGCACCGGGTGCAGCTGCTGTTGTGCCTGACTCTGCACATACTGTTGGACATGCAGCGGGGCCTGCTGCTGGGCCTGCTGGGCCTGCTGGGCCTGCTGGGCCTGCTGGGCCCGCTGGGCTTGCTGGGCTTGCTGCTGTTGGAGCTGCCGGGCCTGCTCGTGCCGGGCCTGCTCGTGCCGGGCCTGCTCGTGCCGGGCCTGCTCTTGCTGGGCCTGGGCCTGATGGCTCGCAATGGAGCTCTGAAGGGTCTGGAAGGCGTTGGGGTTGCCCAGGTTTGGCACCGACTGGGAGCCGGGAAGCCTGCCCACAGGCTGCCGAGCAGGAGGGGAGGCCAGCTCGTCAGTATCGGGAGCAAAGTTGAGGGGGTTCAGCCTCCGAGGTGTGTATGGCGACGTGGTGGGATCCAAGGCGCCGCCGTTGCCGTTGCTGGTGGTAGGAGTGGCGTTGGCATCCGTGCTGGCCTGCTGGCCGTTGGGGGACTGTACATTTCCGGTGTTGTCCGCAGGGGCAGAGCCGTTGGCGTCAAGGCTTGCCGCAGGGTGGTGGCCATCGGTCGGCACGGCAGAGCCGGCGTCGAAACGAGCGCCGCCGTTGTAGTTGGAGTCAAACATGGCCTTGGCCTTGAGCTGCTTCATAAACTCGGCATGGGACGAGGGGGCAGCAGCGGCCTGGCCGCCGAGATGCGTGCCGTCGTGGGTCTCCATGTCGGCGCGGCGAAGCTATAAGCCTCCCCGAAGGTGGTGTGCTGAGCTGGCGAGGATTGGGGCTGCTCAGAAAGAGGCCGGGCTGATCAGCCAGAAATCAACGATATGCAGCGCAGTGTGTCAGGAGGGAGCAGAAGACAGAAAGTGACAAGGCAGAGAGTAGTAGTTAGCTACGGGACCATGGAGAATGGGATGGGAAGGAAGTGTTCGTGATGGTGTTTCTTGTGGTGGGGAGGAGGTTGGGAAGAGGTTGTGGGTGGTGAAGAAAAAGAGCAAGGGCAGAAAACCGGAGGAAGACTCTCGCTTGGGTGCTTCCTATTGGGCCCTCCTCCGAGCACGGGCGCTCCAAGCAGCTCGCTCCGATGCGGAAGAGGGAAGAGAATAGACAATAGGATGAATAGGAACAGTGGCCCGAGCCGAATACAAGAAGAAGTTGAGCTAGTGCAGGCTTTCAAGTGAGGCCATGCTAGACAAGCTATATCCCGGCGAGTGAGGACTGCTTGGTTCATGGAGAGAACCTGCTAGGGCAAGACGTCTGGGTCGGTCCTGCCCTGAGATTGTTCTTGTCAGGTCGTCTCGAACCCCATGCCCCAGTTCAGGACTTGAGGTGGAGCTGACGGCGATCTGATCATTCTGATGGCAATGTGAGGAGCCGCCTTGGTCAAAAACAGCCGCGGAACAGGCCCCACCCTACGGCCGAATGGGCTTTGCCGCTTTGAATTTGGGATCAAGCGAGCGACCTGCCCGGCTGCCGGGGAGACGAGACCCCAGGCCTTGGAAATCAACGAGGCTTCGGCCTTTCTTTACCAGTGCCACCGTGTAGCGGGCAGCCTAGATATTCCACCCGATTCCTGGGATTCCCGTTTGAACAATTTGTGTACCGCCTAGGAATCAGGGTCAACTGTAGATCACCGTCAACTGGTCTTCTGACAGCAGAACATAATCCATTACTGCAGGTTTGTAACCCACCACGAGCATCCGAAGTTCAGGGCGAGAAAAGCGACACACTACAGGCATTGTCACTAGGCAGCTTGGTGGATAAAATGACTGATAAAAGTTGGAAATGTCTGATGCTTTTCACTATTCTACATTCTAGTATCTAAGTCTGTAAGGCTAGTTGTGTAGGATGTGTAGGTGCCTAGGTGCTTGGGAGGTGTTCTGGTATCTTCAAGAACAAAAAGAAAGAAAGTGCCCCAAAAAAAAACAGTCAACAGAGTGTTCCGGACAACAAGGCAGCAGCAACACCCAAGGCTACAGGCAGCGTGCAACTCGCATAGCGGTGCTCCCCCCCTCTTCGTCAGATGCGGCTCCGTATCATTGCCCCGGAGCCATGGTGGCAGTGCCAGATTCTCTTGCTTATATTCCCTGCTAGGATGGCACGAGTCAGTGTCTGATAGCAGCTGTAAGCCATTGGAGTCAACTTGCTTACCTTCGCCAGGCTCGACTTGCAGATGCTCAGGGCTCCTCCGCCGCAACCGCCAAGACGCCCATGAGGAAGTCAAATGGGACATAGGACGGAATGACACTGGCCTCATCGCCGTTCGGCTTCATCACTCTCTGGCTGATGAATAGGCTCCTCACGTAGGCGTTGTTCGGTAGGTCTGGAGTGATGCTCATCAGGCTATCGAAGACGCTCCAGAATAGGGTGAAGCGCGTAAACTCGTCGCGGATGTAGCAGTTGAGATAGCGGGCCCTGTCGATGAACTCCAAGACCGGCTCGCTGGCCATGATCTAGAAGGCCCGGGCCTGCTCGACTACCGACATGGGCGTTCTCTGACTCTCGGTCAGGACAATGCGTTGGGCCGGGCGTCGCACCAGGTAGGCCGGGCCACCATCTATCCCGGAGTGCTCTCCAAAGCTCGAATGCAACATCTCGTCGATGCTCGGGAGCTGCTGGTGGATGACATGGGGTTGATAGGCCCTGATCTGCGTCGGCTGAGTTGTGGTGGTCTGAGGCGGCTGAGTTGTGGTCTGGGTCGACCGAGTTGCGGTGGTCTGAGGCGGCTGAGTTGTGGTCTGGGTCGACCGAGTTGCGGTAGTCTGAGGCGGCTGAGTTGTGGTCTGGGTCGACTGGGATCTGACGAGGGTCGGCCGGTTGTTGTTTTGGGGTTGCAGGCTGCTATCTTGGGACTCTGGGCGCCTGTTCTCATCGGCAGAGCTGGGCCAGTGGGTTCGGACAAACATGATGATGATGCTGGTGTAATACTGGCTCTCGAGGTGATGGGCTGTCTTGGGCTCTAGGTTGTAGCTGATCGTCAATGGTAGGTTTGGTTTGGGTAGACGAAGGTGGTAGGTTTTGCCTGGGTAGATCAAAATTGGTAGCTGGAGGTTTTGTTGGGTAGATCAAAAGTGGTTGTCAGGCCTGTCGTGCGAGAGGATGGGTGTAAGTGTGCCAATGGACGACCCTCTAACACTGGCAGGGGCTTTGGGATTGAACCCGGGCAGGCAGACAGAAGCGGCAGGCGCTGGGCGGTGAGTTTCTGCCGCCTCCAGCGTGGGGTGAGGGCTCCGCAACCGACCCGAGCTCCTTCCCGCGACAAGCTTTGAAGCTTCCCATTGCCTTGCACTTTGCCTGCCGCCTTTGCACCCGACCACGCAAACGAGACCCCGAGACCCGATAGTGACGCTACACTTTGACGCGACAGGCCGGCCGTAGCAGCAGCAACCCCGCGACCGACAAGGGGGCAGGCAACAACCCACCCACCCCCGCACCTGCACCTTCCAGAAAAAAAGAAAAAAGAAAACCAAACCGCGACAGGCGGCAAACAGAGAGACACAAACACAATGGCAGACAGGCCCCAACGAGGCGCAGGAGGAAGCCGCGGCGGGTTCAGGGGCCGCGGCGGCGGTAGCGGCGGCAGGGGGCGAGGCGACGGCCACTCGGGCGGCGGCAGGGGCGACCACCACTCGGGCGGCGGCGACCGCGACCGCCCCAAGAAGGAGAACATCCTGGACCTGGCCAGGTACATGGACAAGGAGGTGCAGGTCAAGTTCAACGGCGGCCGCGAGGGTACGGTGTTTCACCACCCACACCCACACTTCTCCTCTATCCCTCGCCGCTCCTTCCCCTTTCTCCCACGACCGACGAGCAAAAGCAGAACTGACTTTCCAGCCGAAAACGCAGTGACGGGGACGCTAAAGGGCTATGACGCGCTGATGAACCTGGTGCTGGACGACGTCAAGGAGACGATGCGAGGTGGGCGCACCTGCCCGCCTGCCTGCCTGCCTGCCTGCCTGCCCCCCTTCCCCTTCCCCTTGTCCTTTCCTTCCCCAACCACTGGGGCCCGTCTTGGTTGCTGACTTCCCCGCAAACGCGCAAAAACAGACGACGATGGCAACGAGACCAGCAGGCCGCTCGGCCTCGTCGTCATCCGCGGCACGCTCCTGGTCGCCCTCAGCCCGACCGACGGCTCCGAGCCGATCGCGAACCCGTTTGTGCAGCACGATGAGGAAGAGTGAAAGGGGATGGATGGGTGGTGCTTTGTGCGATTGAGTGTCGTTATTTTCTCCCCCTGACGGCGAGGGAGAAGCCCGGCGAGTGGGCCTAGTATGTGGAGAATCCCGTGATACATGATCAGTGGGCAGGTCAGGTCGAAGGCAGAGGTAAAGGAATGGGAGTCTCGCTCCTGCGGCGAGGCTGATATGGGGCCCAGCATCAGCGATACACTGGGCATCAGTCAGTCTGCCGGGCGTGTGATGTTCACGACTACGATGAGGGATGGTACAACCAAAATAGAAACCCCTGGAAATAGGTCGGGGGACTAACAAGACAGAAGACATTGAATACATTTGGCTTCTAGTTTGACATCGCCATTCCAGGGAAAGCTGCCTTGGCTCCCTTTGGTACGATCCGACCCGCCAGCCGCCTTCCTGCCGCCAACCTGCCTCCGAGAGCCCCTCAGTAAGCCTCCAAGCAGCCTTCCGCCCCCATTACAACGGTGCCGAAAGCGTAGTGTTATTATCGCGCAGTATAAGAAGGCGTAGGTCCATGCAAAGGTGCCTAGCACCCGTCTACCCTTAAGCGCGCCACAGCGTGCCCGTCTTCCTTGCCACAGAACCCAGAGGTGAACTTGGAATGGAGATTATGGAGTCCGTGTCTATATCGTCTTGGTCGTCTTGCAAAAAACACAGCCGATACCCTCAAGCGTGGAAATAACCCCGGTACATACACCACCCAGGCCAAATCATGGAACTCCACACCACCTCAAACGCAACATACATGGATACAAAAAGACGTGACAAAAGAGATTTTCTTTTTTGGTGCCGGATTTTATGTGTTTGAGAGATCAGGTATGTGGTAGTCAACGAAATGTGGCAATGGAAACAAAGGGGAGTGTATTGCCCCGTCTCCGAGCAAACTAGGCGCCCTTGGTCGCCTCGTTGCCCTCGCTGGCTGGCTTCGCCTTGCTTTGCTCCTTCTCCTTGCTGCCCTCCTGGCTAGGCTCAATCGGGTCATCCTTGACGAGCGTGTCGACATTGATGGGCTTCTGCTTAGTTGACTCGGCTGCGCCCTCAACGTCAGGGTGCGGCGGCGCCACACCGGCCGCCGCGGGCTTCTCTTGACCAGCCGGCGGGGCCTCGGGCGCCTTTTGAGCGGCTGCCTGGGCGGCGGCGACGGCGGCTGCCTCGTCGTCGGGGTTCGAAATCTCGCGGCCCTGCTCGTCCACGACCCGCGTGCGCGTCTCGTAGCGCGTCTTGAACTCCACCTTGCCCTCGAGCGCCTTGACCTGCTCCTCGTCCAGCAGGTTCCCGTCCTGGTCGCGGTACTCAACACGCTCCTCCCGGGACAGCACTCGCTGCCCTGCTCCGGAACCGTCCTGAGCGAAAGCTGGGTCCGGGGCTCCCGAGATGCCCGGCGGAGGCGCCGGTGGGTTGGCGGCTTGCTCCTGCTGCTGCTGCTGCTGCGCCGGAATGACTGGAGGCGCCACCTTTGCGTCTATCGACTGCTGCGGGGTTGCCACGGCTGAGGGAGTAGCGACGGTGAGCGACGCGTAGGCATCGTACTAGACCAAAACAGTTAGTTCGTGGTCCAATGGTCAGACAATGTCTCGTACGAGGCTTGGGATCAACAGATCTCCGCCTGTCTGGGAAGGGCCAGGCACTGCAAGAATGTGCACGCCGAGGCGCACATTGGCAAGGCTAGACGCTAGCACGGACACATGACAGGGTAGATGGCAAACTAATCCCATCATGGTCCTAGATGGCTTACAAAGAAATCCCATGCCGTGCTAAATTCCACTAAAAAACATAACAGACCGACGCAAAAAGATTCGCCCTTCATCTAATGCCCATGCGCGGGAACCTGCGCCGAAGGAACGGATTGAGGAGGGTCACTCACGTTGTCGAGGAAGGCGTTGCAGTCCCAATCCCAGCCCTTAAAAAGCTTGACGCGGCTGCACTCGCTCTTGGTCCAGGCGTTGCCGTAGGCGAGAGGCTGGAACAGCATGAAGGCAACGATAGAGATGGACAGGAAGCCGACAGCAATGGCCTTGCCAACCATGGGGTTCTCGCGCAGGCCAATGCCCTTGAATCGCGTCAGAGTGAAGTCCATAACCTGGCACCACGCGATAACCGCAAAGTAGAGAGCGGGGAAGTAGTGGTGCAGGAAAAGCTGGCGCTGCATCAGGTAGAAGGGGAAGTAGTGCAGAGCCCAACCGAGGACGGACGAGCCGATCTCGTAGTCGAACCTCTTGAAGGTGACGTTGCCGTAGTCGTTGCAGCTCCGCTGCCAGCGCAGGACAGCAATGGCCTTGAAGAGCACGTAAATGACAACGGCCAGGGTTGACGTGTACCAAACAACAGGGTTGCCCATCAGGTAGATCTGGCGGTGGTCCTTGCCCCAGAAGTTGATGCCGCGCTTGAGCAGGGGCCAGGAGTCCGGGCGCGAGTCCCAGGCGTGCGACTCGACGAGGCCGGCATTGGTCTTCCACATGACCGTGTTGAGCTCGACGAATTTGGAGAAGAATCCAGGTTTACGGTAGTTGACCTTCTCCGCCGATTCATCGAGCTGCGCGTGCTCGTTGGCCTCGATATACCAGATGCTGTTGGGCAGGGTGCCACCGCGGGCGCACGTCACCTCCTGCTGCTCCGAGGCCCAGTCGGGGAGCTTGACCTTGTGCGAAAAGAGCGCACAGCCAGTCATGACGTGGATGAGTCTGAACTTGGTCTCGATGGTCCGAACACGCTCCCTGGCGACACCGCTGGCAGACTGCTTCTTGATGATCTCGACACGGAAGAAGTCGTTGGCATCACCGTCGAAACCCTCGTATCCGTAAGCCGATACCTCGTTCTGCCACTCAGCCTCGGTGACAGGAGGCCGGACGTCGTGCGAGTGGAGGCGGCGGTGGGTAGGGGTGTGGTACAGGCGGAGGACATCGCCGTCCTTGATGTAGGGCAGAGGCGTGACGTTATTCCAGGCGTTGGTGCCGTTGATCTGGACGCCGTTGGGGTCGAGCGGCTGGGTCTGGTTCTCCAAAACCCAATAGTTGTTCTCGTCCTTGTGAGGATAGAGCGTGATCTGTTGCTGCTTGCTGCCAGTGGGGTACATCAGGGGGTGTGAGTGGAGGTAACCGCCCTGGGTGTTGAGGTGGCGGATGGCGACGCGGCTACCCATGAGAACGTCGACAGGTACATCCTGCATGCCTTTGGAGTTGAGCGTAGACTGGAACTCGGAGCTCATGAAACCGTCTCCATCGCCAGGGTTGACAAGGCACACAAAGTGGATGGCGAACATTCCCATGTAGAAGGTGGCCGGAATGAGAATCAGGCAGAGGACGCGGGCCATGAAGTGTTTCGCAAAGAGGCGCTAAGGAGATGTGTTAGAAAATGGACTCGTTGGGCGACACATGGACTCGACCGCGCTTGTGCTTCCATGTACTCACCACCGTCACGGTCTTGTAGTCACCCCAAAGAACCCAAAGCTGAATAAGGGTCAGGGAGCCGACCCAGGCGATGGTGAAAAGGCCGACCCATTTGATGCTGAAGTTCGCGCCGAGACCCAGACCGGTCATGGCAAGCCAGAACCACCAGCTCGGGCCAAATGCCTTGGAGGGTCCCTGCTCATGCTGGTTCGTAAACGAGCTGAAAGCGAGGGCGGTAAAAGCGGTCGTGATCATGAGGGGCGAGTCGAGGAGGATCAGGCGAGCCTGGGTGAGCAGTCCGTTCTCTGCGAGGGGCAGAATTGGTAAGTCCGATAGTTTATCAACTGATAGATTTCTCCTTGCCAAGCGTGATAGAGGAGGGCCTACCGAATATGATCAGGCAGGCGCCGACCATGGCGACGATAGTGCGACAGCCGATAGCCTTGAGGGTAAGGAACATGGTCGGGGCCAGGAGGATGCCGCAGACGGCGGGGAACATGCGCATGGCGACGTAGGGGACCTTGGGCTCGAGGTAATCCTTCCCAATCTCCTTGAAATCGAACTCGCCGTCGAAGCCGGCTAGCCAGCCAGCAAGGGTGATTAGAAGCTTGGCAAGAGGGGGGTGGACGTCCATGAAGAAGCGGCCCTTGATGTACTTGGAAGCGAAGCCGCCGAAGCTATCGAGAGAATGGCGTTGTTAGTCAATAGTGCCAGCGAGGGCGCGAGGGTACGGGCAGATGATTGACGGGGGACGCACTGGACTTCGTCGAACACGACACTGGTGGGTTGGTATATCCGGAAGAGGCGGACGGCGGCGGCCACCAGGGTGATGCCGATCATCACCTGGTAATCGGAGACGGGCAGCAGAAACACATCGTTGTCCTCGACGCCCTCCGAGGTGTAGTCATTGGGGCGATTCGACTTGGCCTTGCCGGCCTTGCTGTTGCCCGCGGCTAGAGGCGTCGCCGCCCGGGCTGGCGGCTTTGCAGCCGCTGCTGCGCGGGCCATGATTAGACGAGAGGCTTAGACCTCGTCACTGCGGATGTTGGAGATGCCCGTGGATTCGCAATGAGACTGAATGAGAGTGTAGAAGGTGGGCAGTCGCGAATTAAAGGGTGTTCCTCCCCGAAGGTGACATGGAACTAGGGGGCGCGACGATGAGGAGAACGAAACGAACGGAGAAGGGAAACAAAAAAGGACAGGCGGCTCGAATGCGATGATCTGTCCCTCTCGTCACGCCACTATTCTGGACTCTACCGTCGAGATGCCTGGGTTGGCAAGAAATGGGCTCGAGGTTGCGAGGAGAAGAGGGCTGAAGAGGACAGGCCTGGGTTCCGCTGCTTTGCGCGCGGATGGAGCCCTGGGCTTTGCTCGTGGGGGATTAATTTGCAGGAGCGTAACAAGTGGCCTCATGGATAAGTGGCCAGCGCGGCGTCGTGATTGGTTGGCTGGGTCCAGCTGCGCGGGCGCCCGCACTCTGAGCGATCTGGGATTTTTCTGGCTGCGACCGCGTCTCCAGGCGGCCCCACCACCGAACACACCACAACAAGGCTCAATTGTCAGGACGCCATCGGCCCCACGTCCCCGCTGTCACGGGCTGGTACCTGGCATTCAGCTGACAGGCGCCTACAGTTGGCATGTACCTGTGCTGGTCGAGATTGCGCGCCTGCCCCTGAAAGCAAAGTGGCCCGCCCCATTTTGAGGCTGAATACTCTCCCAATCCGAGGGCTTTCAGCTGTTGAGTGCCATTTCTATTGCACGTCTGTCCATCCGTCTGCCTTTGCTAGCACTCGATGCCAGCTGTTGTACCTGGATCCCTAGTTCGCGATTTGTTTTTCAGCTGGCTGCACTTCAGTACGCCAGATAAAATGATCTGAAATGGACACGGTTTGCACAATCGAGTTCGGATCAGTCCTCTGAATGCGTTCCCCAACCCCTTTGTCATCCACGTAGCTTTCTGTGGCTAGGCGCTCCTCGTGTTCCCCATCCGATGCAGGTCTCACCACAGGGGCAACAAATTAAACCTTTCTCTTGTCGTTTATTCTCATCATATTTGACGCGTTGAGATGCGCTTCGCCCTTTGGTTTCGAGCGGGAGGTTAGGCCTTTGCAAAGAGGTAGATTTTGTATGATATCGGTTGACGCTGACAAGGGTGTAATCCTCGTCTAAGCTCGAGCCTGCAAACAGGGACAACACACGCCAGGTGCCGTGATCTACAATAGCATATTTGGATTAAGGTTTGGGGTGATTGGAAAGGTGACTTCGTTACTGTTGCTACCAGCCAGACTCCAACTACTGTCCTCGAAAGAACCCCGTTTGAGATTGGAGGACATGATGGCATTGATATATGTGATGCGCGAATATCTTGATCGTATCGTAGCTGCTGTTAAGTCATCTAAACTCTGGACGGAAGATGGGATGTTGGAGCCCTCCATGTCATTTGTTTCCCACCCAAGCGCCCGACAGTCATGTGCGTCACGGACGCCTTCATTATGGTACCATAAGCAGGTCGCCAGAGCAAGGTATAGCAAGGGATTTAGTCGAACTGCCATGGTGTCAGTAGCTTCCGGCGATACAGCACAGCCGGGCCGGAACGGGGCGACATACAGGGGTAAGGAAGGACTCGGCAACGAATCTTGCCCGTGCGTTTAACTGATTATTTCGTGTCAGCACCGAATTCCCCTAGTCAAGCTCAGAACTCTGATCCCAGCCCCGCTTACAAAGAGCTTCATTTCGGAAATTTCCTTGTCGACCTCCTCCATGAACTGTATGATGAAGTCGACAAGCTTGTGCTTGAGCATCTCTTCCGTGTGGAAGCTGGTAATCAGGAAGGAAATGTCATATCCCTGGCAAGAAGCATATCTGTCAGCATAGAGGTACGCAGATGGGTAGAGCTGGTCTGTGTGTGAATGCGCAGCCGGCAGCATGCAGAGACGGGCAAAGCTTGCGAACCTTGATGGGCTTCCTCCTCAGGATGAAAAAGGACTCGGCACGCTGGGTCAGGAAGCGGGTGAACTTGTGGACGAGGATGTGCTCGATCTCGTCGGCCTGCTTGATCTTGATGCTGATGCGGACGCTGTTGACGCTGGGCTCGATGAGGACGCGCTCGTTCTCGTTGCGGGCGACGGTCAGGGGTGTCAGGAGCACCTCGGGGGACGTCTGGGCCTCGATCTCGGGCACGTTGTGCCTTTCGGTCGCCTGGGACGCGAAGTTGGACAGGCAGAGCGCCGCCGTCAGGCTGCTCCGCACCGCCTGGAGGTACGGTCTCAGGGATTGGGACTATCAGTCGGATCGAGCGTTAGTCCAACTCAGCGGAGCGAGGGTGGTGGAATGCCTCGGGCGACGGCGCCGCCTGCTCCACCGCCTGGGCGAGGAGGTCGCGGCAGGTGGACGCGGCGGGCAGCGGCGGAGGAGCGGAAAACCGACGGGGCGACAGCAAATGCGGTCTGCTCACGTACCATGCTGCGGCTGGAAATATCAAAAGCCTCGTCTCTGTAAACCTAGGCGCGCGAAGGGTGAAGCTGGCCACGGATTGGCGGCCTGGTCTGTGCTGGCAAAGGGACGGCGGCGCTCTCATCCCTCGCGGGAACTTGGCCGCAGTCCAGTCAAGCAGCTACGGGACAGCTGTGGCACGTCGTCACTTGGTGTGGAGAATGGTGGGGTCACGGCTCTCCAATGGATGCCCGGCTGCAGCCTTCCAGGCCGCCGGGGTGGCTCAGGCGTGGCTACGGGCTGTTCATTCTTGCTTAGTCTGACAAGCTTTGACGTGTGGCTTGTGGCGCCGCCCCGCCTACCCCTCGCCCCTCGCCTGTAGTGTGGTACAGGGGACTTTGGCCAGGTGGGTGACATCAAACCGCCACCACAGCTTCGAAACGCCGCTGACCGCCCAGAATTGCGTCAAGCCCGAGGCTGCCTGGTGGTTCGGAATCGGTCGGCGCTTGGTCCCTTGACTGATAATTCATTTCCTCGTTTCTCCATTCCCTTCCCTCACTTTCTCGTTGGTCCTACCAACCTGAGCTAGAGGTACCTGTCTGCTTTCTTACTTCTTCTCTTTCTATTCCTCCCACATCCTCCACCAAGCTCGCATACTTTCCCCTGGTGTTTTGGCACTTGGATCCGCCTGTTCTCCTACCACCAACACACGATGTCCGTCAACGGTAAGTATCGCCCCCACCATGGAAGCCCAAAGCCCGTTGTGCAAACACTGCTATCTCGTGGCTGACAAATATCGTCATGTGCAGTCATCGTTTCCCACAAGGGCAAAAAGCACGATGTCGAGGTCGACCCTGAGTCCACGGGCGAGGTGTTCAAGTACCAGCTGTTCAGTCTAACAGGCGTCGAGCCTGATAGACAAAAGATCCTGGTCAAGGGCGGACAGCTCAAGGATGAAACCGTAATGGGAAAGCTGGGCCTCAAGGCCGGCCAGACCATCATGATGATGGGCACACCTGGTGGCGGTGGCGACGGCCTGCGCCGCCCGAAAGAGGTGGTCAAGTTTGTCGAAGACATGACCGAGGCCGAGGCCGCTCGCCAGGAGGGCGCCACACCCGCCGGGCTGGAGAACCTGGGCAACACATGCTACCTGAACTCCACCTTGCAAGTGATGCGCTCGATCCCGGAGCTCCAGGAGGCCCTGAGAACATACGAGTTCAAGATCACCGGCCCGCGAGACGTCAGCGCCCAGTTAGACTTGACGAGCCAGCTGAGGAGACTGTACAAGTCCATGGCCGAGACGCAGTCCGGCTTTGCTCCATTCACCTTCCTCCAGGCCCTCCGCTCAGCATTCCCCCAGTTCGCCGAGAAAGCGAAAGACGGTCATGGATTTGCCCAGCAGGACGCCGAGGAGGCCTGGTCCCAGATTGTGGCCCAGCTGCGACTGAAGCTCGAGCTGAAGAAGCGGAGCGAGGACGAGTCCACCACCAACCTCGTCGATCGGTACATGGCGGGCGAATTCACATCGGTCCTTGAGTGCGACGAGCAGGCGGCGCGCGACGCCGGCGAGGAGGCCGTGACGAGCGTCGAGCCGTTCCTGAAGCTCAACTGCCACATCCAAAAGGACACCAACCACCTACGGGACGGCATCATGAATGCGCTGACCGAGACAATCGAGAAGCGGTCGTCGGCACTAGACAGGGAAGCCGTCTACACCAAGAGGTCCAAGATTTCTAGGCTGCCCAAGTTCCTGACGGTGCACTTTGTCCGTTTCTTCTGGAAGCGAGAGGTGCAGAAGAAGGCCAAGATCATGCGCAAGGTCACGTTCCCGCACGAGCTGGATGTGGTCGAGTTTTGCGTTGACGACTTGAAGAAGCTGCTGATACCGGTCCGCGACAAGGTTCGCGAGGTCCGTAAGGACGAGGAGGACATGGAGCGTGCCAGCAAGCGGCGCAAGAAGAACCATCTCCTAGATGGCGACGAGGGCTCTTCGGAGCAGTCATCATCCAAGGACAGCAAGAAGAAGGACGACAAGAAGGGCAAGGGCGCATCGACTTCGGCGGACGGCGACATTGAGATGGAGGGCGAGACGTTCAAGACGGATGCCGAGGTGCAGGCTGAGAGGGAGGCGACGTTGCTGGAGGCCAAGCGGGAGCTGTATGGGCTCATCAGCCAGAACCAGGGGGCCAAAGATGGAGACAACCTGTCTGGCCTGTATGAGCTCCGCGGGGTGGTGACGCACCAGGGAGCCAGCGCCGACAGCGGTCACTACACGGCCTACGTCAAGAAGACAGCTCCCGTGGACCCGACGACAGGCAAGCCCAAGGAGAGCGAGGATGGCAATTGGTGGTGGTTCAACGATGACAAGGTATCCGAGGTGACTGCCGACAAGATTGACGGTCTCGCAGGGGGCGGCGAGTCTCACTCGGCCCTCATACTGCTCTACCGGGCCATCTCGCTCCCTTCAGCCGAGGATGTGGGCGAGAAGGCGTAAAGCGCCGAGGTCGAGGCGAAGTGGCGAGTAAAGCGGGATAGCATACTGCTTGCGTGACTAGCTTTGCTTGCCGCTTTGCTTGCCGCTTTGCTGCGTTACGGGCCCGCCTTGGACGCGATATGGCTCCTTCGTCTTGGAGCTGGGTACATGGATCTCAAGGTTTGGGGTTTTCTACGAGCATGCCCCATCAAGGGGCGCTGCATGATGGCTTCTTTTGTTCAATACTACGAAACAGCCGATAAACCAGAGATTTTGAAAAGTGTGGGCACAAATGGTCTAGATAAGGGTGGGATACCTAGGAACTTAGCTAAATGACTTAAAGTGCCCTCAGCGCCAACTGGACAGTCTCATGAATATGATTGATGCTATGTACGAGTGTTTGTGGGGTGTCCATGTCTACTGACTGTATGTACAGGTGCGTTATATCATGCACCGAAGTATTCAAGAAGGCAATGCAAGTATCCCTACTTTAACGATCACCCACTCATCTGAATATCCGCCGCGTTCATCCCTTGTTACTTGAATCAGGCCTAGCGGGATTTGGCGCGGCCGTTGCTGGCGACAGTGATGGCTGTGGGTGATTCTCACCAGAGGCAACCAGCCTCCTCTCTCTCCTCTCCTCGTCCTTTGCCTTATTTTCGGCCATGCGCTCCCTCAGCGCCTCCAGCTTCTCCTCGAGTGGAGCCTTTTGGGACATGAGGGCCTGCTTGCGGCGCTCGAGGATGGCGATCTGCTCCTCGACGCCCGCGTGGACGTAATTTTTCACCTCCTGTTTTTTTTTTTCGCCTGTCAGGAACCACATTCCCCTCCTCCTGGGAAACACGTGAGAAGAGGGTGGGAAAAAATCACAAAGCAAGTAAAAAAGCAAAAATTTCACCACCACTGACCGATTTGTACTCTTGCTGCGACTTGAGCCCCGCGCCGTAGATGGTGCCGACGATGGTGATGGCGGCGAAGGAGCCGGCCCAGATGAGGCGCTTGACCTTTGTCCGCTGGGCGGCGGCGGCTGCGGCGGCTGTCACTCTGGCGGTCGCTGCCCTGGACGCGACGGGACCGGCCATGGTGCTGCTAGGGGGTGGTGGTGCTGTGGGTGGTTTGTTGCGCACACAGCCCTGCTCTAGTCCCAATGGCCTTTCCAGACGATCTCGCTGGCCGTCACGCTCCGCGCGTGCAGGCGGCAGGCCGTCGGCGGCTGGGCGGAGCGGGCGCGGCGCTCCGGGGTGCTGCTGGCTGGTGGTGGTGGTGATGGTGGCTGCAGGCCGGGCGATGCCGGCGGGATAGTTGTGACGGCGCGGCGAGGACCAGGTTCCTGCAGCTCGGGGATCCGGCGATAAGCGCTTCGGTCTGCGGCGGCGGTGGTGGTGGCGGCGCGGCGGCGGCGGGGGACGCCGAGGGGTGCAGCGGCTGGAGCTGGGATTGGGGCCGGGCCCGGCGGCGCTGGACTTTTCTCGGCGGGCGGGTACGACGTCAGCTCGATGGGCGACCCCACCTCTGGGAGCTGCTGCTGTTCGCCGAGGTTGCTAGCGCTAGCCCACCGCTTCAGCACGGTTCTTAGTAATCGTCCTCGCTGCTGATGCTGGTGCTGCTGAGCGGTGCCGGCGTGATGGAATTTTAGGTCGCTCGCCACTGCGGCCTTTGCCAAGGTAGTACTATAAAGCATCAGGGGCGGGCGATTGATACATCTTCTTTGGTCCTGTTTTGCGAGAAAAAAAGAAGACTCGCAGAAGGACGAGTGAGGTATTCGGGAAGCGGTCGCATCAAAAGTACCCAAAGGTAACAGGCATTTTATCTCCTTTTTCTCCTCTTTTTTGGGTATCCATCCCCAACGGAGCATTTCCCCATTGCATTTGTTCCATTACCATCTCCGTCTAATTTTTGTTTTCTTCTCGTCTTCGGAATATGCCTTCCGTCACAGCGCCTCTGCCAAATCGGTGCGAAACTTTTGTGTGAGTTTCAGCCCTTTATTTTTGTCGGCGTGTTCGATGCCCATATCCTTTTCTGGGCTGAACGCTGGTGGCAGGACAGACTTCTAAAGTTGGGGCTTCTAAACTTGGCTTTTGCTCTGCCTCGTCAGGGACCGAGCCTGTCAGGGCGGTGGAGCAAATGTCATGGTCCGATGCTTGGCCTGAAACGGCTCGAGATCTTGACAGCAGCGCTGACTCTCGACAGAGTTCCCCGCCAGCCAAAAATAAACAAAGCGCCACAATTCTAGCAAAGGGTAAGCCAGCTTATTGCATTGTGACATCCGCTCTCTCGGGTGTGACAGGCCGTGGTGCAGGCCCCGTGGTGCTAGCGACGCAAGCGCTCACAAGCGCCCCCGCGCCGCGCCGCACGCCTGCGTCCCGCCGCTCGCTCTTCCACCCTTCCCCACCGGCCGTCGATACGCTCCTTAGCCCGGCCGGCGGCCCCAGGGCGGAGCTAGACGGGTACGGGGGTTAGGAGGATGGGAGGAAAGCCCCGCTGACCGTCCAGGACGAATGCAGCCCTTGATCAGGTCAAAAAAAAAAGGCCGAAAATCTCCCTGGGAAGACGGTGGGTGGAAAGCAACTTCAAGGGGCCTTGCATTCGCGCCAGCCCACCGCACACTTTTCCCCCTCACCCCTTGATCCTACCGGGATCCTTGTGCTGGCGCTGGTAGGCCACTATACGCGGGGGTTGTGCGTGCTGTGGCTGCTGACATTTGGGGGTTCCCTGGTCTCGTTTCTTTTTCCGAGCGCAGGTCGAAACCAGCACCGCCGCCAGCACCGCCGCAGGCCAAGAGGGCACCACAATGGGCACGCCCCGGGTCTTTATTGTACGACACGGCGAGACCGAGTGGTCGCTCAACGGCCGCCACACTGGCTCGACCGACATCCCCCTGACGGCCAACGGCGAGGCCAGGGTCAAGGCCACGGGCCGCGCCCTCGTTGGCGATGACCGCTTGATTGTGCCTAGGAAGCTTGCGCACATGTAAGTCGTGTTGGCTGTGTCCTCGAGATGCTAAAGACGGGGGCTTCTTGTCATTTGCCCGTGTCATGTAGCCCGCCAGCCACCCCATCCGCCCCCAGATTCTGGTGTTTTGGTCGGGATCGACGCCTAGTTGCTGAGCTTGCCTCACCGTGGATCGTCCCGCCGCCTGGGCCTGCCCTCTTCGAGAAGGCTTGGTTTGCCTGACGGAACGAAACGTGCCCGTCCAGGCCCTTGCGTCGGCCCGCCTATCAGAGCGGGTGTATCATGAGTGGACCCCCACGGCGGCGGGTTTAATGGCAATCCAGCGATCCAGCGGGCCAGCGAGCCAGCCTGGCCCCGAGCCTGTCACCATCACACTGCCCGAAACGACAAGGGCGTGGCGGGGACCAGAGTGGCACAGCTAGACATGCGCCTGTACATGCGAGCAGCTCAATTCGCGATACGCTCGAGCCATGGTGTTGTTTGCTCCCTAACCAATTCTGGATCTCACCGCAGATATGTGTCGCCTCGAAAACGGGCCCAGCGCACCTTTGAGCTGCTCAACCTAGGCCTCAAGGATCATGCGCTGCCGTGGAAGGCGCACGGTGCCGCAGAAAAGGACCCCCGCCTCTGTGACGCCAGGATCGAGGTGACCCAGGACATCCGCGAGTGGGACTACGGCGACTACGAGGGCATCACGAGCCCCAACATCAGGGCCATGCGCAAGGAGCAGGGCATCGAGGGATACTGGGACATCTGGAAGGATGGCTGCCCAGGAGGAGAGTAGGTTCCCTCCTCTCCTCTCCCGCTGGCCACTGTCCCTTTTCCACAAGGCCGTCGCTTTCCGTCTCATCCTCCCCTGCTGCTCCCACCATATGCGGCGCGTGCCTCCCCGTCCCCAGAATGGAACCCCACGCCCCTTCAGCGGAAGCCTGGTGGAAGCCTGCGGCCTTTCTCGCGCTCAAGGGTGAGGGAGTACCGGTACCGAGAGGGTACCTGAGCAGAGGAGTACAGGGGCTGTTCGCGCGAGGTGCGCCAGAGGAAGAGGCGTCTACCTAGCGGCCCGCCGCCGTTTGCGAACCGGAGCGAGACCAAAATAAAAAAGATGGCTAACAAGTGACGTGAGCATGGCTCCTCCCACGCCACCACCACCCCGCCCTTTTGCAGGAGTCCCGAAGACATTACCACTCGTCTGGATCGCTTGATCGCCGATATCCGCGCCCGGTTCCACGGCCCCGCCATGGAGGCGGGCCAGCGCGGCGACGTCCTCATAGTGGCCCACGGCCACATCCTGCGAGCCTTTGCCATGCGGTGGGCGGGCAAGTCGCTGCAGGATGGCCCGACCTTTTTGCTGGAGGCGGGAGGTGTGGGCACCCTGAGGTACGTAGTTCCGACACCGAATTGGTTTCCTATTTGCGGGATATTTTGCCTCTTTCGGAGGCTCGCTCTCTTTGTTGAAGGAAAATCATTAGTCTTATGCGTGGTCCCTCGCCCATTCTTTTCTTGGGCCCTCGCTTGCCAGCAAAGCCCGTGCTTCCCTCGCTGGCCCGGTCGCCAGGGCGGTGGGAAAACAAGGCTTGGTATGCAGGCGTGTGTGCGGGCTTTGCGTGTATAAAAATCGCGGGGAGACAAGGAACAGGTGTGGTGGGTTTCGAACTAAAAGCTGACGGCGCCACCCAATCCTCCCTCGCCCGTTGGACGGCTGGCCTCGCAAACAGCTACGAGCACCACAACATCGCCGAGCCGGCCATCCTGCTCGGAGGGGCCTTTATCGTCGACGGCCCCGCCACAGAGGCCAAGAAGGATTGATGTGTGGCGCGCTCACGCGGAGGAGGAGGTTAGCCTCGCGCGCAAGGGATGGGTTTGCCATACCACGCCGTTTCCGCCGTTTGGAATCACATCCTCACCCCAAGGCGACAAGAGAGGATGGAATCCACTGCAAATAGCTTAGTTGCTTAAGATAGGCAGATATAGGGGGCAATAGAAGCACGGCGACTGGACGTTTTCGACGGCGCGCAGGGTTGTATGAGATGAAGGCTTACAGAAGGGTAGGGGGTGTGGTGATGGCCGGGGCGACGTGCCATTCGCCCACGACGCTCCGCTCCGCTCCTGCTTTCGTGTCTGGCCGAGATGAGCTCCGGGGATGCCGTGTCGGCTCTGTATGCCTCCCCATGTAGCTTCCCGCGGTCAGATTGATGAGAGGATGGCGATGCATGCAGTCAGTTCCTGGTTGATACGCCGTCACCAACTGAGAATGAGGGGTGAGTAACGGCATGCAGTGGATGGCTGGCGCGACTCCTGCTGCTGTCTACTTGTTCGTAATGGAATTAGGGGCTACGGGCGGTGTGAGACGGGGCTTTGCCTTGACTGGATGCCTGTTTGTCCTCGTCTGCCTGTCTGTTCTCGTCTGCCAGTCTGTTCTCGTCTGCCTGTCTATACTCTCGTTTGCTTGGCTGCGTCTCCTCTTCTGCCTGGCTCTCCTAGTCTGCCTGCCTTCGTGTGGCCTGTTCTATCCTCACCTGCCTGCCTGCTAGCCCCTGTCTGCATTTCTGCCCTTGTCTGTATGTATTGCCTGTCATTCTTGTCTGCCTGCACACCACCCAGCCCTCATGCCTCCCCGTCTGCCTATATCCCCTACCTCATAGCTAGCAAGTCACAGAGCCGGCCGAGCAGCCGCCCCAGCCGCGCGCCCAGATCCTGGCGGTCAGTTCGCCGCAGCGGCCGGCTTGGTGCCGCGGGCGAAGAAGACGGTGCGGAGGACCTTGTCCCGCTGCGGCATCTCGATGCTCTCCATGATCTCAAACCTGAAGTCCTCGCCGGCCCCGGCGGCCTCGAACATGCGCCGCACCTCGGCCTCGTCGAAGCCGTTGCGCGCGACGGTCCGGGCGGCGCGGCGCTCCGTGTCCCCCTCGTGCGCCGCTTGCTCGTCGCCGCCGCCGCCGTCTCCATGCTTCTGATGATGTCCTTGACCGTGATGGTGATGGTGATGATGATCAGAAGATGCGTCCCCCCACCCGCCCGCGGGCCGCTCGTACGGCAGCAGGTCGGCGATGAAGAGCGCGCCGCCGGGCCGCAGGCGCTCGACGAGGCGGGCGGCCACGGCCGTCGGGTCGTCGAAGTGGTGGGCGCCGAAGCCGACGGCGGCCACGTCGAAGCCGCGCAGGTCCGGGCGGTCCAGGGCCGAGGACGGGGCGTGCAGGTCGCCCTCGACGGCGTCCATCTGCTCGGGCTTGAGGCCCTTTTTTTTGACATGACGTGTTAGGTTTCCGCCGAGTCTATATGTATGTATGTATGTATAGGATGCTCACCTCGAGCTTGGCCCGCTCCTTGTACTTTTCCACCATGCCCGGCGCGAGGTCGATGCCGCGGCACTGCGTGACGTAGGGATAGAGGGCCTAAGAGGTTGCCGTCGTCAGTCTAGGGGTCCTCTTCGAGTCTGGGCCAGGTGGCAGGAAGCATGCGCTCGCTGTCTACCATCGGGGCCCGGGCACTTCCAGAGAGACCGGCAGCGCCACTCGGATCACGAGCAAAGAGACCCACCCTGGAGACGGTCCCCGGCCCGCACGCGTAGTCCAGCAGCCTCACTGGCCTCACGGGGCCGGCGGCCGCCAGTTCAGGGCTGATGAAGGAGCGGCGCTCGACCAGGGCGGCCATGAACATGGCGATGGTCTTTTCGAAGCCGGAGTCATACGAGGCGGACCTCTCGCTGCGGGTTTTTATCATATTTAGCAACGTTCAGAGCGTCCTCCCTGGCATCTCGGCAGTCATGCCGAGACCACAGGCCTGTCTGCCAGTCTTGACCAAGACAACGCACCTCCAAAACTCCTTGTTGCGGGCCGTGTTCTCGCTCATTTTGACGTGAGTTTCAAGGCCGGGTCTCGGGCAAGAGGGTGCTAGTGAGGGCGCGAGGCAGGTCAGGTTGCTTGCAAAGATGAGACGGGATATCTGCATCGAGTCAAAGTGTAAACAAAACAGAGTTCATGGTCGTGCATCCATCTCAGCCATTATCAAGGGCCTTGTCATCTGGTGTTTTTATATATCTAGGTTGCGGCTACATCTCGGGAATAACCAAAAGGAGAGTTTTCTATCGTGACTACGTGGCATTGCCGGCTACTTTTCGCGTGGCGCGGCGACTTTGTCCAGCAATGGAGACTTTTCGGCCACTTTCTCTACTAGCCGCGGTGGCCTTATCCAGGCGGGGTTCTTGTCACTAGATTGCTTGCAAGCCTCCATCCGTCTGTCCAGGGGCCTAGCCGCTGCTGCTCTGCCGAAACAACAGAGAGCAGACAACTCGGCACGCCAAATCTTGATGCCATTCCCAGCTCCCATCTTGCGTCACGAGCCATCACCGGCGACGGCAGTGCCAACCAGAAGGCTCCACATGCCAGCCGCCAGCAGGAGCACACAGCTCTCCACGGCTGACTCTCCACGGCTGGTGGCCCTACAGCGAGACCCAAGTCCGAGGCGGGCCCCTGGTGCACATCCGTCGGCGGGTTACCGTTTTCGTCACCAAGGCCTGCTTTGCCGCCCATGGACGTCTGTACTGTACGTAGTTAGTGTATAGTAGCACAAACAAACACACGCCCCCATTGTCCCCTCTTTCTTCCCTAAGGATCAGCCTACCCTGTCCTGTTTTTTTTCCCTTGCCTGGCGCCGACACAAAGCCCGTGCAGAGAATGCGACATACAGTAAGGCGCCAAGGAGACGGGCCGAAATAAACCAACAAACAACAGCATCACGCAAACGAACCGAGACGAGAGGGGCCATCCTCCCGTCCTCCCCCATGGATGATGGCCCATCCGTTGGCCATATACCCGCCCGATAGCATGTTAAAAATGGCACAGGCCGAGCGCCGAGGCCAAGCACAGCCACCAACCGAACCTAGGCAAGGGCACCTGGGCGATGGGGCAAGCAGGCTTTCTGATATCGGGGCCGGGCAGGGCAGGGGGAGAACAGCAGGTAAACACCAAAAACCCGCAAGAAAAAAAAAATGCAATCAAGAAAACCAAAAACCCACACCCAGGGCGAACGGACGGACGGACGGCGATCGGACGCCCGCGCTGCAGGGCCACGCGCATCGGACCGTAATCACAAGGGGAGGGGAGGGGAGGAGAGGGGCTGGAACAAGAGGTTCGTCGTTGATTAGCGACAAGGGAAAAAAACGGGGTAAACGGTGCATTTTTGTCCTATCCTTGGCCTGTTTGTGTGGATGTGGACCACAGCCGGACGTGCGTCCACCCTCACTCTCAGTCCAGTCGCGCACAACAACAGGCCGAGCCCGCGTGCCTGCCCCATTCCATCAGTTGTTGTTTGCGTGTGCGTCTCCCTGGCGCGTGTGCAACGGCCTGCCGAGCCGCCCAACGAGAAGGAGCCAAGTCCCATCTCGCTCACGCCACCTACACCAATTGGCGAGAATGCCACTCACACGCATACACATACAACATACACTCTCACAGCCCAAGCGGCATCGCCACATCTCATATAATACGCGAGGGGTGAAGCCACTCATGTCCAGGGTACGGTACTGTGTGAGGGACAATTTCAGGGCTGGTTAGCTGTGTGAGCGCTATCCTACCCTGTGCTTACTCTCCCTCCGGGCGGCGCGACAGCAAGGCCAGGTCGGCCTGGCCTGGGCCCTGCGGCTTTCTTGCTTCTAAACCAAAAAAAACCACGGGCCCATGAGGGACGGGCAACAAACAACGACACATCTACTGGTGAGTGAGTTGAGTTGAGTGAGTGAGTTGCGTAATGGCGGCCGGGCCACGAAGCAACAACAACAATAACAACAACAAAAAATAAATCCCTCACGCACGCTGCACGTTGCTGGCTGCCCAGGCCAACAGCAAATAAACGCAAGCAGCACGAGCACCAGCAACAAGCAGGGGCCCATGTCCAGCGGCCAGGCCATGGAGAGCCCACAATTCGGCAGTGCGCCCCGGGGCGGCGAAAAAAAAAACCCCCTCCTCCTCCCACTCCCTGCTGCTTCGATTTTGTTCTCGTGACGTCCCGTGGTGTGTCCGGAGTGCATATCGCGTCGGTGGGGTGACGGTGCGTGCCTTGGCCCGTCGGCTTCGCCCTGCTTTTATTGGGTATTATTATTTTATTGCACCTAATAATTTTTTTATTGTGTCTTTCTCTTGGGTGAATTCACCGGCCCAGACCCTCCCGGCTTCCTCGTTATGGCCACAAACCCCACCTCCCTACCTTGCCTTCTTTTTCTTCCTGCTCACACACCGACACCCTTTCACTGGCTAGCTGGACGGGTAACCTACCCTATATAAGGTGATTATTTATGTATGTGCAAGGGGAGGATGGATGGGGAAGGATCGGTAGGCATGCGTCAGCACACCAACATGTCCTCGAAGGGAAAAAACCAGCGATAGAAAGTGTGAATGCGGCCCAGCAGGGGCCCTGAGAAGAAGCACAAAAACAGAAAACGGGGCAGGTCGGCCGGTTCATGGCTCCATTCTCCGTGTCAGCACAGGGTACCATTGCGAACCCCATACCACGGCTCGCGCCTCGGTGCCGCTTTTTTTTCCTTCTTTTCGGCTGGGCTTGGCAAGAGCGAAAACAAAAACAGTAAGAGCCCGCTCTCTCTCCCCCCCTCCCTTCTCTCTGGCCCGGCGGGAAGATCGCCAACGGGTGGCACAGGCGGCGGGACAAGATCATTCGCTCCTGGGTTGATGTGCTAGCACAGCTCCCCACCCCTGCCTGTGTGTTGTCGATTGGGGGAAGGGTGACGACTGGAGGGGCCCAGCCGGCCGGCCGTGTTACACCAAGCTGTGCCTTTTGCTGCCTTTAGCCCGCGATGCAACCTTCTGGAGTGAACCTTGGCAATAGGCCGCCATGAGGCCGAAAGAGTTGCCCCATCTCATCTCCCAGTCCGCGACCCAAAACACAGCAAGGAAGAGAGAGTGTGTGAGAGAAGGAGAGAAAAAGGGCAGTGAGAGAAACAGACGTGAGCATCCGCACACAAGTGACACAAAGATGCACTTTGCTGTATGATAAGAGACTCTTCATCCTCTGTAACCGGTCAGCGGAGGAAAGGGGCCCGGGGGAGGGGGCTGCTGCCGTGCACCCTGTCCCTACCTAGCCCCCGGCCAACCTTCTTCCTTTGCGCCCTACAATAGATCTGGGTAGGGTTGCTGCTGGCCCGTTAGTTGCCGCTTGCCGCGCTGCTGCTTCTTGCTGCTGCTGGCTCGACCAACCAACAGGCCCCATCCATTCGGGGGCAGGTTCATGTGAGCAAAGTGCCTAGGTATTAAATGTGGCATGCCAATAGGCGGCGGCAGCAACAGCGGGCGGTATTTGTGATCGGGGCCTTGTGAAACCCCGCCGCGTCGATACATATGTGCCTACCGACATGGCATTTCTTCTTGTTGTTGTTTCTTTTCTTTTTTTTTCTCGTCTTCGCTTCGTATAGCATCTCGCTTGCGCTGTGAATACGACGGGCGCCTGACCACCCTCTCCGGATATTCCCCAAGCAAGGGAGAGGGAGGGCGCAGACTGAGGGTGTGGTGGTGGTGGGCTGTCCCAACAACAAGGCTGCGCACCTAGGCTTCCCGTTCCGTTCCGCTGGCTCCATGTACGTACCTCTTCACGCCTCGTAGGTGGTAGGTACCTAGGGAGGTACGAGATGAATATTGGCGGCCCGGCAGAAACACCAAGTACTGAAAGTGCGAGAGAACCCAATTTAAAAATAAAAATAAAACCCTCTCTCCCAGCCATGCCGCCAGCCAGTATTTTGTGACGCCGGATGCGGGTGTCGTGAGGTTGCGTCCGCCACTATAATCCTCTTTCACGCAGCGCCACGTCAGGGTGGGTGGGAAGGGGACGAGAGAGCGAGAAAGAGAGATATGTACGACGCGAGTAGACGGGGGCCCCTCCCCTCGACGAGTAAAGCGAGACCATACGCGGGCGGCGCTTCATCTATTTCCGCGTCATCGGCAACGCCGTGAAACCCCGCGATTGTGGTCCAGGCCACTTTGGGCCGCCCTTGTCCCGCGGTCCCCCGCCGCGGTGCCGTTCCCATTTGTGAGACACGGGCGCGGCGGCAAGCCTCCCCTCCCTCTCCCCTCTCCCTAGCTGGCCTCGAGTGGTGTCACCCATCCTGCCTGTCGGCAAAGAGCGGGTGGAGGGTGGGAAAAGGCCTCGCTGGCCATCACGGTTTGCTCGTTGCCAGTCGGGTTACTTGCCACTATCTCCAGTGAACCAGCAAGAAGCGTCGTCCAAACAACCCATTGGGCACACCAGCATCACACCACATGGACAGGAATTACTGTGCATGGCATGGTGGACGTGAGCCGCGAGATATCCTCCTATCCACGTGCAGCATCTTTCGATTGCGGCAGGCCAGGAGACGACAGGCCAGGAGACGACAGGCCAGGAGACGACAGGCCAGGAGACGACAGGCCAGGAGGGACCGGGCCATATAGTGTGTGGATATGTGTGTATATGTGTGTGTCCGTGGCTGCATGCCCAACATGCAGCATGTGTGGGATGAGGGAACAGAGGAGTATTGAGGGCAAGGAAGAAAACTGCCTCTGCGTCTGCGTCTGGCTGCTGCCACTGCTACATGGCCAAGAAACAGGACCAGCAGCGGCAGGGCGCGGCTGCCGATTGAAGCCGCTCTTGGAGGGAGGACGGGCGGGCAAATGAGACGCTGCCAGCGCACATTCTGGCCTTGCCCCTCAGATCATCTCCTTCCCCTCCATGAATCATCAAAAGGGTAAACTCATCACCGACCGAGGCTCGAGAGGAGAGAGAAAGAGGGTGTGTATATGGGTGTGGATGTGTGTATGCGTGTGTGGCTGCCGGCAGCATGCGTCCTCTGGCCCCTCTTCTCGCATCATGCCTGGCTTGGCATTAAGCAGAAGAGAGATCAAAAAGAAGCAAAACAACTGACGGAGAAGCCGACGGCAAGACAGCCGTGTGGTCAACGGCAGGGCGCCGGCCGGGCGTTGTCGTTGTACGTATCCTGCGTCCATCGCGATTTGCGGCACCATCGAAAGGAGGCGCTGTCTGTTCTGCACTGCATCGGCTAGGGCGTCCCATGGCGCGCGCGCGTCCCCAGAGGTAAACCTCCTCCCCACGAGAGCCAGACAGGCAAGGGTTTTTTCTTTTTTCTTTTTTTCGCTTGGCCGCTTCATCATGGGAGCGAGCCATCCATGGGCGCTCACGACACCCAACCGCCCAGCAAAAGCCACCCAGATTACAAGACGAACAAGCCACTCGGCGAGACGATTTGCCGCCAGGATCGAGTGGCTGTCCTCCCTTGTTCCTTGTGCAGTCTCACCCGCATCCGGGCGCCAGGAGACAAAGAGCAAGTGAGACGGGAACAGACCGGTCGATTGGTCGGTCGTGGCCGGCCCGCTCGCCTCACACTCGAGTTGCTTGCTCTCCAACTAGGGCCTTTCGCAGCATCGACATGTTTGTGGCTCGACCCCGAGACTGGCCCTGCAGCTGCAAGAGGTCGACCGTTGGCATTGAGCGAGAGTCGTGGTGGATGCTGCTGACGAGGCAGCGCAGGCTGCATTTTAGCACCCCTCCATTGACGGTAGATGGTTGGTGGCCGGCATGGTGCACTGTAACTCTCGGCCGTACTCGTGCTTATCCCGTAAATTCCTCGCCTCATGAGGGTTTGAGGACATGGCCTGCCCTGCATCGCGCGACCGTGAAGCTTTGTCGACGCAGATATAAAATAAAATAAAGTAAAATCTTTATCCCAGGGTAGCGCTCGCCGCCCTGCCTTTTTTTTCCCCCGAGGACAGCCACGGGTACGCATCCCCGCATCGCAAAAGCCAAAGCCAAGCGAAGTGCCTCGTCGCTCGGCTTGGACGCCCCCCGAGGCCGGGAACCCGCAGCCGCAACAGGCAATTCGCCGGTCCGGGGGCCCTGCCAAAATGGTGACGTTGGATTGGGGAAGCATGGACATGGACGTGTGTGGGTGTACTGCGTATGTGTGTGTGTACTGCGTATATGTGTGTGTACCGCGTATGTGTGTGTGCACGCGGTGGGATTCTGAATTCCAAAAAGGAAGAAAATCACTCGATTGCCGATCATCTTGTCGCGCCCGCCCGACGTTTCAACTCTCGGGCGTGTTCATCGGCTCCTTTCGCCCCTCCCGCCCCCTTGCTTCCATGTTACCAAGTTTCCGGTCAACGAGAGCAGAGGGCGGGGGTGGGCGTCTGGCCGGCCGATTTCCAAAGGGGGCAAGGGGAGGAAGGGGAAAGGAAAAGGAAAAAGAAGGATGAAGCCGGTCAGGAGCGTGGGAACCGAACCCCATGACTTAATCAGCGTGGAGCATTCAGCTTGACACTGCGGGCTCGGAATGGGCCGCACCTTCCCCTGGGACGTGGTAGCTCCGTGGTGCCTGCCACTTGCCTGTCTGGCGTTTTGTGTTCCGTCCCTTCCCTTCCGTAGCCCACGCCACGACAAGAGGCCCTGGGCCATGGGAATTGAGTGCACAGGAGGACGGTGGCCCCTGCGCCACTTTTTTGCTGGGAACATGCCCGCCGCCACCGCCAGCCATGCTTTTTGCCCAACCTTTTTTTCTTTTCTTTTCTTTTCTTTGCTCTGCTCTGCTTTTTCTCTCTTGCGCGTCCGGCTGACCAGAAATAAGAAACAATTGTCCGCCGGGAATCGCGAGGCACGATTTGCCCAAACATGGCTGCTGCAAGCACCGTCATATCAATTGGCGGCCTGTCGTGTTGGTCGGTTAAACGACCCGGGTCGCCGTTCGACCCACCTGTGGATTTGACAGGTCACGCCCGGGATGAAAGGAAAGAAATGAAAAATCATTACTACACGAAAGCGCTGGGTGGACATCTGGTGGCAACAAATGACCAAGCGGAACACAGGAGGAAGCGTTAAGGGTAGCAGCAGCAAGCAACAGCACCTATGCGGCAGTTTTCTGGCCTCCCCTGTGGCGTAGCTCTCCTCTTCGTGTGTTCCAGCCCGCCTCTCCGCGCCGGGAATGTGTGCATGTATGTGTGTGTGTGTGTGCGAGAGAGAGCGCGTTTAATGCCTGCAGGTCGGCCGTGGCCCAGGCTGGCCGTCGCAGCACACCCACCCACCCACCACCGCCCGGCTCTAAACGAAGGGCCACTCACTCTAATCAGCGCGGGGCGGGCAGTGAGAAAAGGGAAAGCCGCAGATTGTGCGGCGGCCGGCCGCGAGCAAAATAACTCTGGCCTGGCTGGCCAGGCCAGGCCAGGCCCCCTTTCCGCAGCGGGCAGCCAACGGGAGCGGTTTGGGTGTGTACGTGCGTGTGTGCGAGTGTGTGCCGTGCGTGCAACTCAACTGCGGGAGCGGGCGGAGACTGTCATCGCATTTTGCAATCCAAAAAAGGGTTGGTTCCAGAAATTGAAAAAGAAAGAGAGGCGCAAAACGAGATGCACTGTGGGGGATAAGGGGGTGTGAACCTAACCGAGCGCTTCGACCAGGGTACGTACCGCACAGTGGGGAAACTGACTATGCGACGACGCGGCCGACAGACACAGAGTACACGCCCCCCTCCCCTCCCGTTTGTGGATGGGGGCTTGGCCAGGAATGTGAGCGAGCCACGCAGCGAGCACCTCGCGACCAGCCACGCCCACCACCATACGCGCTAGTACTTTTTTTTTTGTTCTCCATATGTGTATGTTTGTGCTGTGCATGTTTGGCGTGCCTGCTGTGTTTGTGCTGCCCGAATCTGGCGGCTTTATCTCTTTTCCTCTTTTTGCGTTATCTCCAAGGTAATTTTCCTCTCGAAACAAAAGACAACAACAAAAGACTCTTGTCGTAGCAGCTAGCCCCTCGCTTCTGGCAGGCTGAAAAGGTCAAAGGCAGAGTCAGGCCTATCAGCCCAGCCCCTCCTCGCACAGGCTACCACACCCGCGATGGCGGGAACCCTACCCACACCTACACATCCTAGCCAGCCACCAAACTCAATGGTCTCGGCCAAACACGGCCCTTCCATTGGCGCGGTGGGAAGCAGATGCTAGGAAAAGAAAAACAACAAACCGTAGGCACATATCAGCTTTTGACTCGGAGCGGCAGGGCCAAGGGGAAAATAGGCAAAAATCCACGATGATGTGGGTGTGCGGGTGTCTGTCTCTCTCTCTCTGTCTGTGTGTGTGTCTTGTGGCTTGTGGCCCATGCAGTCAGCATTTCCAAAAGCCCCCCGATTCCACCACTCCAGCCGCCCGTGACGCCTTGACCCCTTTCCCTCCTCTTGATCCCTCTGGGTCACTAGCCCAAAACCGACCGAACGCTGGCCCGGCGGCCCGGCTACGTCACCCCTTTCGTGGCCGTGGTGGTTGGAGGGAGGATCCGGAATGTGGAGGGGTGGCATGGGAGCACCGGAAACGTGAACTGTATTTTGCCCGATCTCCCCCATGTTGTTCCCTTCTTCGGGGTCGGATGATTTTGGGAACAGAAATGATGGGTGTCAGGCTGGGCCAGCACAAGGCCCCGGGACCGACACGAGGCGTCGTCCGCCGCGAAAGTTGGATTATTATGCCCGAAATTTCAGCCCCGTCGCTGCTCCTTCGTAAACGAAAGAAAGAGAAAGAAAAAAAACCGCCGTTTCCTCCGTCTCCCCACTCCTCCTGGAACCGACCACCACCACCACCGTCTAGTGCGGTCCGGTTATCCACCAGCAGGTCATCGACGGCCTGCGAGCACTCGTCCATTATACAGGGTGCGTCCCTGCAGGCTGCTACGAGCAAGGGAGGGAAATCCCGAAAGACAGCACCCACCGCTGACGGCGGCACCAAGGTGAGATAGGAGATTGTCGAGTGGTGTGCACGGGTGGGCATTTCGGACCATTTGCCTGGTACCGAGCGTGCGAGCCTCTCCACACCTAACCAGGGGGCAGGCAGTCGGTCAGTCGGTCAAGTCAGTCAGCAGGCCGTGGCATTGATGATTGACCGACGAGGTTGTGGACGGCTATATGCGCTCGCCGTTATTGGAAAACTACAACCCTGTTATCGGGCTTTCTTCTCGCTTCTGCCCTCTCGCTTCACCGTCGTACCTATTTTGGCCACCCGGTGCCACTTCATGTCTCTCTCCATCCTTTTTTTCGCGCGATCAGAGCCAAAAGACCGACCAGGGGGAAAACAGCGAACTGGTAACCCCTGGGGCCCAGGCGAACGGAGCGGCAAGTGGACCGCAGGAGCTAACGCTCACGTGATTTGCCGTGACTGGGGTCCGCCCCTGTGGAAGCGTTTTTGGCGTTGCTCGAGTTGTGCAAGCGCGGAGCTTTCGAAAAAAGACGGGCTGGCGCGCTGTGGTTTTCCATTGGTTTCCCGTGGTTTAGTTGGCGGTGGGTGAGTGTGAGTGTGTGAGCGTGTGGTGCCGCAACAAGAAGCTCCATCTGCACCACCACTGCGAGTCTCATCTCGATGACTCCTCTTCACTTTCAATTGCGGACTGTCTCGTGGCGTCTTTCCCGCTCGGTGTAGCGCCGGCCGCAACCACCCCTAGGCAATCAAACAAGGCCAACCATCAAAGAAAAATGACGGTGAGCGGAGGCTGTGACCGTTGGTGCATATCGTCCGTCCCCGTTTGATTTTTTTTTTTGAGACGGTCTGCTCGTGCTTGGACTCCCGACTCGAAAGGGGAACCGTTCCGCCGTCCATCCTTAGCCCCAGGCCGCTCATTCCCAATAAATGGTCTCCTTCGTCCGCATGGCGGTGGCGCCTTTGGGGCCGGCTCGGGTGGTCGCGAAAGGACCAAAGCGGTGTAGCGAAAAAAGAGGGCCGATATTATGGTGGGGGTACAAGAACTGTGCCGGCGGACGGCCTTGTGGGAAATAGAAACCAAAAAAAAAAAGAAGCAGCAGCACATCCAGTCAACGGAGCATAAATTGATAAAAGATAAAAACAAAAAGAACGATCAGAATAAACGGCACTTGAAGCACCTTTTGTGCCGCTTCTCCGCATACCTCGTCGTCTGCGCCGCAGGGCCATCTGATCTAACGTGCCCCCTATGTGTGTGTGTGTACCCACCCTTTTTTTGATGTTGGGCATGTATCGAGGGTCCAATCTCAGCCGCCCCCAGGCCGCCTGCACGAGCACACACACAGACCCGACCTTGCTGGACCCACCTTTTCGCTTTCTAGCGGCTGCTGTCGGTTCTTGATGATGCAGTTAGTGTCTGGTCGCTCTTCTTGTTTGATAGTGCGTCGCTGGGCCGCGTCGTTTTTTTTTTTTTGTCCGTGGGATCGAAAACGGACGGGGCGTGAATCTGACGGACACCTACCTCCGCACTTTTTTCCCCTCGCAATCTAGCGTTTCTCTTGCTCCATAAAAAAAACGCTAGCTCGAGTGCCTATCGAGCGAGGTAAGCAGGTAGCCGTCGCTAGCCCTGGCGTCTGCACGTGCGACATGAAAGGGCGATTCCTTGCTGGACGGGAAGGGCGCGATATGCTATGCGACGGACGAAGAAAAAAGCACGTAGTGCTGCCGGCCGTCCACGCAACCCTCTCATACACTCACCGGCCTCGGCCTGTGATAACTCAAAATCGACCTGTCCTTTTTCAGACAGAGTCATGAAAGCCTGTCCCCCTGATTAGCCTCACTGCCCTGCCCTGCTCGCCACGTTGCTTGGTCCGTCGAAGCTAGTTAGATAGTCAAAATCTAACGAGTTGCAAGCACACACCCGCTGCGCCCAAGGTGGAAAGAATACAAAACACGGCCAACACGGACGGGGCTGCGGGGTTCCCTGATGCCGCCAGACCCTCCACCGAGGCTAACCTCCGAGTCCGATGTTGGAGCCGCACTAAGGTTTCTAGCGTCTCCTCCCTCGAGCTCGCCTAGAGTTGCACCGCCCGCGCAGGGCCTTTCCCTCTTGCTCCCATACTGCCCCAGCCAGCGGGCCGCAGGAGTCTGGGCTCCATGGGAATGCATGGTCTACGCGCCGCTGCGGGGTTTTCCAGGCGCGGTTTCGCCGCGGCGACCGCCGGCCGTATATACGGCCTATAGTAAATTGCTGTTGCGGCCAGGCCGGAAGGGGGGTCTCGGGAATTGAAAAAAAGGATAAACGCCTGCGAGATGGAGGGGGAAAGGAGAAGGGTGACCATGTCACGGCAGAAAAGCAAGAAACCAGACGGAAACGAGTGGTTCTCGAGCAACGGGATGGGCGATGAGTTGGCACTGCATACAACGTAGGCCACATCCCTTGCCAATGTCACGGCAAGAGTAAAAGAATGCCCAAAGTCAAAGGCCGGTAATTTATTCCACCGAGACACACTGCCGAGGCAGGCGGCCGCCGTCGAGAACAAAACTGTAAGTCGTCATATTCGGCCTTTTCCCAGTGAAAGAGCAGGTAGCACCCCCGTCCGTTGGCCGCTGGCACGCGACTTTCCCCGAGAACACGACGTCGGGCCTCGGCATCATCTCTCGTCTCTCCACCGTGTGTGCCCGACGAAATTTATTGTCCCCTAATGCAATGCCACCCTCTCTGCTGGAATACAGCTGCGACAGTGTCTCGGGTCTGGCATTTTCCTCTTGACTCAAAACGCCTCGTGGCTCGCCCTCCCTTTTTTGCTCGCCGTCCACAAAACAAAGGGGGGTAGGCCGCCAGGGGAGCTGTCATGTGGGCCGCCGGGCCGCCGCCTTGTCACGGTGTCCTGCCTTTCGGGGGAGGAGGCGGCGGGGAAGGGTAAGCTTGGGTTGGGGGGTACACCCCACCCCCGGGCGGCAATGCCATGCGGGTGGACAGAAGGATATGCGGCTTGGGCATGGAGCTCGGGTTAGTAAAAAGACCAAGCAACATTGCCACGTAGTCGGCCTTTTCCTTGTATTTGTTGTTCTAATGAGGGGTTTGGTATTTCTCATCATGGTGCTCCAAGTGCTTGCTTGGTAGGCGCCTGAATCCACAGCACCAGGAAGATGCATTGGGTAGCACCATTCCGGTGCCCAATCGATGGCCCAACCTCCAGATTGCTGCTGACAGCGTCGTGGTTTCTGCTCGTCAGCAGCAAGTGCCGCAGCATCGCAAAGGAATATACCCATATTGATCAAACCACACCCACACACAATTAACGAGCGGGATTCACAGACCCTGGCCTTTTTTTTTTTGCGCATTGCCTTTTATCGAGTCGGTCCAAATAAACTACCGGTAGTCCGAAGCCGTCAGACAGGAACAGGACGTCACCTGACCGCCCGCGCGACTTCCTCCGACGTGGTGCTAGCAGGTACCTACCTATTTTAGCGGGAGGGCCGGTCCTGGTCAAAAAGAGGGGCAGGAGCTAGGCAAGCAACGGCCTAGCATCGATGATGGGTACCCGGTCGCGATCGCGGCGAAAAACGGCTTTTCGGTTCAAATGAGCACTGCTAAACAGACTCGACTCCGGGCTTGGGTTAGTTTTTTGTCGGGTTGTAATTGGGATATTGGCTCTGGTTAGGTTTTTAGTAATGGGCTGTGGGGAAAAAGCGGTATGTCAATTTCAAACCAGCACCAAGCTCACAGCCCAGACAAGGCTGCCTGGCCAGGTCGAGTGCGCCTGCCTCGGTGATCGATCAATTCAATGCAATGCAGCGCAGTTACTCTTATTCGTTCACAAACACCGAAGCTGCAGTAAAAGCAGCATTAGCATGAAAAAAAAAGAGAAAAAGAACAACATCAAAAAAAGCTCAGAATTGATGACATGAGGCGTAACTTGGTCCCCATCTGCAGGGGCTGGGTTGCGGCTCTGCTTCCCGCTCTTTCGACCGGTGAGCAGAGAAAATCGTTCGGCAACGCGATCCAAGAGCATGAATCTTGGGGAAGGGCAAAAAAAAAAGAAAAGAAAAAAAAAAGAAAAGAAAAAAAAAAAGAAAAAGCCCGCCAACCAACCAACCCGCCGCGGGGCTTGGCTGGCTAGTGGTAGCTGGCTACGTGGCCGAGACGGGCAGGCGTTAGCACCAAAGGTAGGGCGCGCAGATTATGATGGGTGACAGTCATGTCAGCAACGAGGCACACCGACCGCCAGTCCTGCATTAGGGGATTCTCGTCTCTTTTTTCCCTCTTCTTTTTGGTCTTACTTGCTGCGGCCCATGCCCACTATCCCGTGTGGGCAAGCCTCCATTCGGGGCAGGGGCATTTTGGTCACTCGAAGGATCACGTTCCATGTTGATAAACCTACCAAGGTAGGCCAGGGGGTGGTCAAGCAGGAAATCAAGCAGGCGGGACGGAAGCGCGCGGCAGGGCCGCCCGCCCCGAAGCCAAAAACAACAGGCAAGTAAGCCCAGGGGGGGCAGGGGAACAGGTGGGCTTCGGGGCTGTTCTCACAGGGCTGGCTGGCTGGCTGGCTGGCCGCCGCCGGCGGCAGAGACGGAGCAGCCTGCGAGGAGTAAGAAACAGCGAGATAAAATTAGAGCCAAAGGAAATTGCTACTGGGATTCCGGCGGCGAAGCAACGCCTTGGTGGGTATGGTGAGCAAAAAAGAAAGAAAAAAAGAAAGAAAAAAGACTGTGCGATCCCTTTTCGGGGCCACCAACAGCGCGGCGCAATTACGGGGTTCAATTTCCAAAAGCGAAGGGCGCGGCGGCGCGGCTGGATACAGCGAGATGGAGGTTGGCAGCCCCGTGCGCACGTAAAGCTCTCTCTGCCCAGGGGGGTTCGCCAACCGCCAACAGCGGATTTTGTGCTTATTGCATTGCATTGGTTGGGTTTCAACCCCAGCCGATCTCCCTCGGGACGCCGTCAAAGTTCCAACAACTCGGTGGGCAGGCAAGGCACCTTTCAACTGTATTTGGTACCAGTTCTGCCGCTCATCTGCTGGCAACACGGACGATGGTTGCGCCGAATCCGGCGGGCTGCACGCCATAGGCAGGCAGGCAGGCAGGCAGCAGAGGGAGAAGAGAAATTCATGCCCATCGTATTGCTCCCTCTTCCCCGTCGTATTGCCGAAGCAGGACCGGAAGCGAAGCACAAAAGGCGGGTGGCGCCTCATTCGTGGCGGGCTCTCTGATCGGATCGGCCGCGAGCCAACCGACGCAGGACACAGCATACACAGGACCTCTGCATCTAATAGTGCCGGGGAAGAAAGGAAGGAAGCATGCGAGTGTCGGCGCAAAAAGACTCACAGGGAGCCTAGGTGTGTATGTGTAAGTAGAAATGAAGGAGCATATACGAAAATACATACACCCACCCCCACCCGATAATACGGGGAATTAACAGGTAGTGATATGGGTAGGAATGGTTGCGGACGGCTGTGATTTTTCGTTGTATTATCCCGAGACAACCCCCGCCAATGAGATGGTGCGCAAAGCCAAGCCCACGGCTGGGTTTTTTTTTTGTTGGAGGTCCTCGGTTGCGCACCTTGCTTCCCACACAGTGGTCGGCATCGACGGCCGGCGGCTGGAAAACAACAACAAAACAACAACAAACCAACCAACAAAAAAAGGGGTCGTCCAACGCGGGACAGCTGTCAAATGCGTGGATAGGGTACCCTGGCGTCATTTTTTTTTTTCTTTTTGTTCCCGTCGTAATGCATGGCACACGCTTGGGCCGATCAACAACATCACCCTTCTCTCCCTTTCGGCTCTTCCCTCCCCAGTCAGCCCGCCCCTCCCCCGGCAGGTTTCGGGCCTCCCATCGGGGCTCGGGGCATTCGCGCTCCCAGCCTTCCGCTGGCTTGCCAACCAACCGGCCTTGGCCCAATCGGATCTGGACCAGCCCGAGTTTGGAGTAATGACATCTATCAGTCGTCATCAATGACGGGTGTTTGTTTCTTGGTTCTGTAATTTAATTTTGCTTTTCTTGTGCACTTTTTTTTTTCTGCCTCGAACAGGCAGTTTTTCAGCTGGCTTTTAATCCTTGCAAAACCACCACAGCCAACAGGAGTGGACGTATACAGTACGTATTTAGACGAGCGAGGGGGGGGGTGTGGGCCAGCCCGCCCGTTGGGCCAGCCAATAGCATGACCGGGATGTGGGGTGGGCACGGTGACGGGATGAGCCTAAAAAGGATGGCGGCCGGCGGCACGAATGGCGTCAAGCGAGGTCACTTGACCTGGGCCCTTCTCCGTCCCCCGTCCCCCCCCTGGCGTCCAGGGCCGTAAAACGTATACTGTGTGTACTGGTAGTCCCAGCCATCTCCGCTAAGGGGGGATTAGAGCCACACTCCCTGACGCTGACGCCCTGCGAAGAGATAGCGGCGGCTGGCCGCACAGCCCAGTGCCTCGCCCGACGATAGACATGAATTGTTTCCACCCTGCCTGCCCCGGTCGCGGGCGCCGGCGGATTTTGTGGCGTGTGGGAGGCATGCGAGCTGGTGCAGGTAAGGGTTTGATCACAGGAAGACAGGACAAGGGTGACAAAAAAACGGCGGTTCAGCTGCCATGTTTTTCTCCCCAAGACCACGCAGGCAAAAAGACGCACGTGTGTGGGGCAGCAAACGGGGCGGTCAAGACCAGTGAATGCTGCATCTCTCTCGCTCTTCGACTTCCGAGGGGGCCGCGGCGGGCGGGATGTCCGCGTTGCGTCTTTGGCCTGGCCCGGCCTGGCCTGGCCTGCCCACTTTACCGCCTCTCTTTCTCACTCTCTCCCTCTCCTTCTCTTTCGTTGTTTCTCGCCGCGGCCCGCTCGCGCAGGGTGGGTCGGAAATCAGGTTACCCTTCATTTCATCGTATCCTGGGGCGGACGGGGGTGTGCGCGTGTGCGCATCATGAACTGTCGACCTAGCCAGGGTAGGGTCAAGCGAGCCGGGTGAACCAGGGGGTGTGAGTGTTCTGGTTCTGTGTGGCGAGGGGCCGTTGCTGTGCGTGGGCCAAGGGGACAAAAACGTCGGGAACGAGACCACCCAAGCATCCAAGCAGTGCCAATCGCCTGTGGCCTTGTGTGTGTGCGCCTTTTGCCATGGTGGTGGCGTTGGGAGAGGGACTTGGAGAGAGGGGCAGATGAAGTAGCATGAAGGGCAAGAGCGCGGAAGTATGATGTGTCAACAGGCCGAGGAGGGCGGTCTCCCCAGGCTGAAGCGTGCCAGTCGCACTGCTCGGAGCTGTGATGGGAGACGCATCCCCAACGCTTTCTGTGGGAGTGCGTCGACATGCAATGCACGGCGGTGGCGGCGGGCGCTGCTGGCTCCAATCCACCGGCAGCATTCCTCGTTTCCCACCCAGCCCTTTCTGCGAAGCGCTCCTTTTGTTCCATGTGCCATGGCTCGTCTCCCTCCTCCCCGCCCCTCCTGCCCCGATCCAAGCCGACAACCGGTTGGGGAGAGCGCGGCCATCTCGGCCCAAGGCATCGTGCTGCCTCTCCAATGGCGAGATGGGTTTGCCCAGCTGTTTTTGCCATGTCGGCCCAGCCCACGAGGGTGGGGCTTTATTGGGTGGCCAGGCTACGGCAAGGGCTGATTGGCCCAGTGTGGGAAAACGACGCGCCATCCGCAAGCGGGCTGGGGCTGGCTGGGCCAGCCGTGAGCCAGTCGCTCCAGTCTGTGGCGGCCGACAGCAAGGGAGGAGGGAAGGGGAGGGGAAAAAAGGAAAGGTCTTGCCGATCGGTTGACGGCAGCACACCGCCGTGTCGGCCCCAGCTTTTCCCACCCAGGTGGGAGCGCGGAAACGATGTGATGTGGGGCTTGCCGCCCACAGCTGCTCCGCCCGTGCGATCAAGCTAGCCTCTAAAGCTCATTGGAGAAGGAGGGAAAAGGACGCTATCGCCCAGCGAGGATGTGGAGATTGGGATTCGCCCTTTTGGAACGGCAGCCTGTCATTTGCTGGGCTTGGACTGTAAAAAAGCGTCGAAAATAATAATAATAATAAACAAACCCCGACGGTTTCGATAAGTTGATGAGCTGGGCTTGGGCCGGGTTGGGCTTGTCCCACCCGAGCAGAGGGAGCGAGACCGGTTTCGTCGCTCCCCACATATCGGCAGTTTTGTTCCCTTGACACAGCCGACTGCCGCTCCCTCCCTCCCCCTGGTGACGCAGCTCCTTCCCACCCCAGGCCGGGCCCGACATCGAGGGCGCAATCTCGCACGCGGCGCTAGGGCCGTGGGCGTTGGGCGGTCAGGCCGATCACGGCCCAGCGGCCAGCAGCGGCCATGCCAAATTGCTACGAAACGCGTCGACCGTTCCGGTTACCCCTGTCGCGCAAGAGATCGGGCCTATCGCGACGGACGGCGTGTGCCTGTGAGTGTGCCTGTGAGTGAGGGACGTCTGTGTGTGCACAAGACCGCACCAGCACCAGCACTAGCACCAGCACCAGCGCCAGCACCAGCCCAGCACCAGCGCCGCCTTTGGCTTGTGTGGCGCAACCACGACTACCCCTGGCTCCTTCGTCCCCGCCTCCCGCGCGTGCGCCCGTCGCGACTCGCATACCCGCAACCGGTCAGTTATTCTGGACGACCCCAGCGGCGGGAACCGCCTGGCCGAGTGGGCTTGCTAGGCCGGGCTGGCGTTATTCCTTGGTGTGTCCCAGGGGTCGTGCCGCTAGAAGACGAAGAAGATTGCAACTTTCCCGAGTTTTCTTGCTTCGGCGCGAGCGGTGCTTTACTCGATTCGTACCAGCAATTCCCACTTTCAAAACACACTGAACCTAAGCCCCCTGGTGCATGTCCGGACCAAGCCAGCCTAGAACCGGTGTGTGACTCGGAAGACGCGGGGGTGGAAGGTGATGCCAGGGTGGGCTGCAGCGAGCGCTGATGGGCCAGGGATGCCATCACATGCATCGTCACACGCTTTGGCCCTCAGGAAAAATGATCGGGAAGGCAGAACGAGAGAAGGTGGAGCCGAGGAGGAGGGCAAACGGAAGCGAGCAGAGAGGCGGGCCAATGAACCATGGCGATGAGCAAAGTGAAGAAGATGCGTGCGAGAGAGAGAGAGACGGAGAAAAAGAAACGACTGTGCTAGATTACCCACCTGCAAGACAACCGATTGGATCCTGGGCCTTGGCCTGATTTCGGCGCGTGTCAAATCGCCAGATGATCTGCCTGACACGAAAAAAAAATGGAAACTGCCCGATGGTTTTGCCCGTCACGGGAGCAACCCCCCAGCCCACACCACCCCACGGTACCGCGCTGCTGGATCTCCCTCCAGTGGGCTTGGGCCCTCGTCCCCCATAGCTGCCAATTGCGTGTCCGCGTCCGATGCTGGCATGTGGTTTTCCTCTGCCATCCGTATCCAATCAGCCGCCCCAGACACTTACGCTCCCCGCCCGTTACGATGCTAGGCTGGGTGGGTGGCCGGGTGGTGCGGATACCTTCCTCGGGTTTGGCAGTCGACTACGGGTATCCCGTTTTCTACTGGTGGTGATGGCGGCGGCGGCGGCATCAGACTGTTGCAGCAGAATAGGCCGAGCCCATAGGTTCCCCGCTCCTCGACAATGGGCCCATTCACGGCTTTGCTATTGTCTTCACACCACACACACCCCTCTAGCACGCAGTCGGCGCCCACCCGTCACGATAGGAAGGACGCATCTCGACGGGCACTTTAGTGAAGCACGGTACGCCCGCTCGCGATATTGCCATCCTGATGACGCCCATATTAAAACATCAATGACTGTGCATGGCGGAGGTGGGGTGGCGGGAGACGGGAGGCGGGGTCCAGAAAGAAACCCGACCCGGCCGACCCGTGCTTTTTTTGTTGAGCCGACGGTAAGCCGGGGAGGGAGCAGCACGCGCGGTCTCTTGCGTCGCCGTCGGTTATGCAGATAGATAGGGAGACAAAGGACCGTAGAGTGACTGCATATTCCCGCTGTGCCCTGAGGTCGGACGGCCGCACCCTGCGGCCAGCCGCCGGGGACTAGGTGCGGCGCGCGCGGGGAGGAGGAGGGAGGAAGACGACGGCGACAACAGCAACAGGGATGACTGTTTTGTTTGCTTTATCTGTAGGGCGGGTGGCCGCTCCCGTCTCGTCTGCCGCGTTCCGTCATCGGTGGTCAACGGCCGGCCCCACCCTGGCGTTGTTCATGATACAGCGGGAGAGTTGAAGGGGGCACGGCAGGACAGGCGGACGGGAGAGGATTCTGCAAGGCGACGAAAGCGGCTCGGGGGCAATAAGCGATGCTGTGTGCCGAAGAAGCAGAAAGAAAGAAAGAAAAAGTCACCCCCGTGTGTGGGCATTTAGACGAATGCGGCCATCCGAGACAGGTGTGGTTTTCTGGTGACACCCATCAAGCAAATCCGTGGCGGGCTGCAGTGCGTCCCGTCATCTGTCCCCGGCCGCCGTGTCATCCTTCGACTTCCCCTCTTTGGAGGTGTTTTTTTATTTATTTGTTTGTTTGTTTGTTGCCGCCAATCTACTTTGCATGACTATTACTCCTTTCATTTTCCACATGGGACACACCCACACCCTCGATGTCGTACCCGCTGCGAGACCGTGTCGCCATGGCACAACAGTGGCGTCACGAGGGCGGTTTTTGCCGAAGGTGACTTGGCGCAGAACGGGCATGAGAAGAAAAAGGGAACAAAAAAAAACTAGATCGGAGGGATACACACATTGCGGACCATGTCGCACCGAGGGAGGGACCACACATGCAACCCTTCCGTTTTGCTGTTATCATGCAGTCATGGCTTTGGAGTTGCGGCTGCCCGATTTTCGGGCCGCTGCCGCGCGTGCTGCGGCTTTTCTTCCCCTTCCGCCTCCTTGTGCCGCCTTTGAGTTTTCTGTTTGCCTGTTTGCTTGCCACCACGCCGCTCCGTTGTCGCTCCCGTTCTGGTTGCATCATCCATCGTGAGAGTGGGCTTTTTTTGCTCACTCGAGCGACAAGGCCGGCGGCGGCGAAATAAACGTTAGCGATGCGGCGAAGCGATGAGGAAAAAGGATAATAGACTGCGCCTTTGAAGCAAACCCGTAATTAACTTCGCACCGGGGCAACAAGATTCGAGCAAGCCCGCATGGGGAGTGTGAGATTTACTCACACCAGCCCCTTCCGGGGCGGCCTTCCACCCCTGCGTGTTCCCGTTTAGCCAAACCAAACAAAAGGCACACACACACACACACTATCTTTTACGTTGAGTGTTGTCGGTGGCGGACTTTTTACAACCACCTTTTTTTTTTGGGCACCGTGACGTTGCACGCACCCGCAGCGACCTAGGCGGCGAGAGGGCGGTGGCACGCCCCACCCGTGCGCCTCCCGTCCAGCAAGCAAGCAAGCGGACGGGAAGTGGACGTCCAGGGGGGGAGAGTTGAGGGAGGGACCTTATCTCTTTGCCGACAATCTTGTCATTTCCAGGCTGACCTTGGCCGTCACGGTGGCTGCTGACGGACCAACAATGGATGATGGGCACAAAAGAAGCCGCAAATGGGTCGAGCCATGACACATTCCCGATTGGGGACCGTCCTCGGGTGCCTTTTCACGCCCGGACCAAAAAAAAAATGGGACACTTTTCAATTGGTGGTGGTGGTATGCACTGGGGCAAAAATTGAAAAGTGTCTCGTTTTTTTTGATCCGGGCGTGCTTTTTCTTTCTGATTTTAATTTGGGTCTAACTGGCACGGGGTGACCCACCGGTCCGTTTGTTGCCTCCTCTTCTTGCCCTGTCCCTTGTGGACAGTTACATTCCTCGTATCTTGGCGTTCTTTTTCTTGCCCGCAGTTCTGTTTTGTCTCCGACGGCCCGCCTCCCATTTTACCCACCCGAATCGTGCCTGATTTGCCAAACCGAAAGAATGGGACCCCTCCCTTCCCACTTCCCAGGCGGTCGCCAATCGAACTGCGCCACCCGCCCAACCCGTCCTCCCGCACGGCTCCAGTCGTGCGTACCTAGGTTGCGAGCGGCCCGCTGTTTGCGGTTGCGGTTGCTCCTTGTTTTTGTCCTCCCTTTGGTGTTTTGTCCCTGTCGGCTTGACTAGGACTGGCTTTGTGGATTCCATGTCCAGCAAGGGAGACAACCGGTTTCCCCTTCCCTTGGGAAAGGTACCCCAGACGGTGTCGGCCGGCTGCGCATCGTCCCACCCAACCCCGCCCTTTTTCCCTTCCACTTTCGTCCACCCTTGTGACAAAAGGCCGTCGGGAGATTTTTAGTTCTAGAAGCACCAAAATGGCAATCTCCTGATCCCGTGTTTTCTTGGCCCTTTTTTCGTTCGGACCCATTGATTGCGTACGCTCTGGCAGGGGAAACCCGGTTGTACTTAGATCTGAAGGCTGACTATGTTATTTGTCAGGTGGAGGAGGAGCTATGAATGAAGCAAAAGAAAGAAAAAAAAACTGATGAAACGATCAACAACCATGAGCGACAAGTGATGGACGACTGACTGGCTTTCCGTGGCTTGTTCGGCCTGCTTATTAAGAGCCAAGGCGCCGACGTCGCATTTTGCAACCGAGACAAGTCGGCCCAGGAAGTCTGACCATGCCTCCCTCGCTTGGGCTTTTAGGTATATCTCAATAATATTCACGCGCCACTGTCTGTCTGCCTTCTCCCTTTCTCCCTCACCGACAGGGGCCCGAGAGAGAAGCAAAATCCGGACACAAATTGTTGTGGCGGCGGTGGTCATGCGCCTGCCTGTCTGCTCACCTCAGAAAAATGCTCGCTCGTTTGGCCAAGAGGGGCAACCTGTAAGGGGACTGTGTTTTCCGCCCGCGCGAAAACGGTGAGCGTATGTGGTCATGGAACGGGATTCGCAACGCATTCTCGGGGGCGCGGCGGGGAGGGGGGGAACGTCCCGCCCCGTCGGATCAGCAGCAAGGGGAGTCTGACCGCGTCTTTCCCTTTTTTCCCTGCTCTTTTTGTTCATTCCTCATCGCAAACCGTGCATAAAACAAAAAGAGGGGCGAACCCGATGCATAAGGGAGGGTGGTGGTGCACCCCGAGGCGAGGAAAAATGAGCGCATTCCAAAAAATTAAAAAGATTAAAAAAATTTAAAATAAAAAGGCTCCGCGGCCGCGGCGACAGCAACAATGCGCCAGCGCCGCGCCGCGCACGCTAATGGAGCAAAGGGCGGCGCCCACACCTCCTTTTCCACCGCCTCGGTGTCGGACGGGTCATCATGATCAATCCTCCACAAAAAAACTAAAGGTGTGCTTGTGTGAGCTTATGTGCCCGTGTGCCTGTTGCTTCTTCCCTGTCGTCAGCCCCTCCTCGTCCAAATCCCTGGGCGCCGGTGGGCGGTGCAGCGGACCCCCCAAACCCGTTTTCGTCTCATCTTTTCTTATCATCATCTTTTCTTATCATCATCTTTTCTTATCATCTTTTCTTATCATCCCTCCCCTCCACCCTTTTCGAGGGCCGCCCTCGCACGAACCGGCCGGCCGGCTCGGCATGCCTTTCTGGATCGTGCATGGCCGACGGACGGGTTCTGCCTTTCTTCTTTATGCCAATGTGCTGTTTATTTCACCCCTGTTACTATGGGTTGTCGAGTCGATCGCCCCGTGGAATGGAATTTGATCCGAAGTTGGAGTTGCAGGAGCTATGTGGTTTCAAAAGACAGGGCCGCGTGATTTCCCTGCCATTCCTTCACCGTCTCCCTTGATACTGTTTCCTCGCACCCCCCGGTGGAATGCAAGGCCAAGGGTGAACAGACGGCCGCTCCCGTTACGGGTTTTGTCTGGTCGGGCCAAAACGTTATTTCCGTTGATCCCCAACGCGCTTTGACTCTTGCACCACAAACCAGTTCGTGACCATCCCCTGCCTACCTCTCCACCAACTGAAAAAAAAAAATCCGAACCCAAAATGCTTTGCCCCACCCAAACTCTATAGCAAAAAAGGTCAAAACAAACTCAATCAATTCATACCAAAGCACCATAATACGCCTAAAACAGCACGGATTTTTTCGCCAATAATAAAAAGCAAAGGCAAAATGACTGGCCATTAATTTGCATATAAATTTTTATTTTTATTTTTATTTTCATTTTTTTTGTGGTGTTAATTGGCTTTGAAATGGTAGCCCCTTTTTTGCGGTTCGGGTTTTTTTTTTTCAGTTGGTGCTCCCTTCGGCGGCCCGCCAACCCACCAGCAGGCAGCGCCAGACTGCCCTGTCCGGACAAGTCCGGGGGATGAGGGGACAGGTTCCATTCGCCGAACTTTGGCTGCGAGAAGTTCATGCGTTAAAGCGGACGAGTGGCCGGCAATGGCATGCCACATAGCGGCGGCCAGGCGGGAAGACAAGGCCCCGCGCGCTGCAATTCTTATCGTGGGCTAGTCAGTCAGCCAGCCGAGCAAGCGCCACCCCGGTCCCCCGTCCCTGGTTCCCTGCCGTAAGTTCCCCTTGGTTGGGTCGCCTCTGTCTCCAACGGTTCCATGCCCGGGTCTCCCGCTTACGTAGCATCATGGGTAGGTCCCGAGGTGAGCGAGCATCACAAAAGCAAATCAGGGCGGAGCAGAAAACGTAGCAGTCAGCAGCACAAAAAAAGCTCCAAGCAATCAGTAACCTCAAGTCAAGCTTCCCGTAACGGGCCCGAGAGGGGCGAACATTTAAAGGGCGAAAAACAAAGAGCGAGACAGTGAAAAGTCCTTCTAGAACCCCCGCCTCGGGACCGACCTTGATGAAGCCAGGGGGAGGTGGTGGTGGGCTCTTCGGACCCAGGCTCCTGGGTCCTTCCTCGCTCCTCGCGTCCGTCGTCAACTTTGGGGGCAGAAAAGAAAGGGACAAGCGCGGTTAGTGCACCCGACAGACAACCTTGCATGCGTTGGCAACAGCGGCGTCTGTTTCGCGATTTCCCACATTGTTTGGTTTTTTGGGGTTTTTTTCCCCTCTCGCTTGCATGACGGGCGCACGAGATGATCAGAAAAAGAGTTAACTTCAAACGGTCTCTTTACTTGGGGCTTGACGCTGACACCCAACCTCGCGGTGGCCTGGTTGGAAGTCGGTGTGGTGGAGGCGGTGCATGTGCCTGGCGATTCCTTCCTTCCTCCTGGGCCTCTCTCCTGGCCTGCGCACCCCAGCGACAAATACATGAGCAGTGGTAGGCAGATGTGAAACGGGCAGCCGACGCAGCAGATAAGTGGTCGCTGGTGGAAGCGCCACTTTATGCGCTCCTGCACAGAGGTATCAAGCATTTATCCGCACACGCTCGCAAAGCAAAGCAGACGCACCATTTTTGCTGGGTCGAGACGCACGCAGTGAGATTTACATACGACATGAGACCCCATCGCCAAGTAAATAAACAAAACAACGGCCAGCAGCGCGCCTATGCCCGCACACGGCGATGGCCCAGCGCATGCAGGCAGCCGCTGATGATGGGCCTGCACATCGACGGGCCTTGGCTGACCCCGAGGCCCTCGCTTTTTGCCCAGCGGCACGACAACAGCGCTAAGCAGGACAGGAGTCAGAAAGGCAAATGCGGCGTAAAATGTGGCCCAAAATAACAAAAAGAGGGAAGCGCATTGCTGTAATGCGCCGTATTTGAGCTTTCCGCGTTCCAGCCTACTGCAGTTTGGGCATCGTGCGCTTTATGCTCAGCGCGCTGCTGCTGCTGGCCCTGCGGCGACCAAAATAAGTGACTCAGTGCGTCAAGTTTGCCTGGAGCAAGGGAGCTCGAGCTTGCAACAGCGCCCACCTTGCCTCCACTTGGCACACGCTCGGCTCGACAGCTCGACAGGCAGAGCCCACCCGGCTCCGCCAAACCCAGTGACCTGCCGCCCACGCACCACCCCTCTCACCATCACGCCAAGCGGCTCCACTTGGCTCACCTTCCATTGCCCCTAATAATATCGATTCCTCATGACTGTACCGCAATTGAGAAAGCAGCAACTGGGCTGCTTTTCCGCCGCCGAGCCACAGGCATCTCCCCTTGGCGAGGACGGAGCCACGGAGCCCAGCACCAGCAGCAGCGACGAGCACACCCCAATCAATACAACCAACGAATAACTTTTATGCCAAACCTAAGTCAGTCGTCCAAAAAAGATGCCTGACGGACCGGCCCCACGAACGACAGCCCGGCTCGATGCCCGCCCGTCCTAGCCGCTGCCAGCTGTTTCGAGCAGGAGACAAGCAGAAAAAATAAAAGAAAAAAGGTTTGCGTTTCGGTGTGCCTTGCTCGTCTCTTCCCTCCCCCGCGTTTGCGATTAGCATTCGGCTCCATCGCCCCAAGTCGCATTCCCCTCCCCTCCCCGTTTGGTGTGCCGCAGAACGCGTCCCGGCCCTGGTCTTTTTTGGTCGATCGATGGGTCTGTGGAATTAAGTTGGTGCGTTTTGACTTTAGCTCTCTTCCCCTTTTGCCGGCCCGGATTTTTGCTTCTTTTTTTCTTTTCTTTCTTTTCTTTTGTTTGTTCGTGTTTTTAGTTATTCGCTCGCCCTGCGGCGCTGCATCAGTGGCTCCGACTGGGGCCGTGGGTGGATAATGGTGATGCTGGTGATGCGGATGATGATGAGGATGGCGTTTGGCTGGGTCGGGTCGCCACATCACCACAGCAGGGCAGGGCCACCCTCGGAAACGTTGCTGCTTCGTATCCTTTGCCGTTTCGTGCCGTGTTTGTTTTTGCCTGCCCGCTGGCCTGTGCCGCTCTCCCGCGACGCAACCGTGATGGTGGCTGCCATGAAATGCTGCCATGTAATTTTCCTTGGCACCCATCTCTCCCCTCTTTCCTTCATATTGCCCATCTCCTCTCTTTGGTAGCATTCTCACGACGCTGCAACCGCCTTTGCCTGAATTTCATCCCTTTTTCCCGTCTCGTCCGTCGTGACTTCCGCCTCGCCCAACGGCTTGCCGCTTGCTTCTGGGCGGCTGTAACGGTCCTTCTGGCGCTCACTCATCAGTGGGCGGTCAGCGGCTGGTGTTTGGAACCGTTGTTGGGTGTGGATGGATGGGGTCGGTCGGCAGTTTACTGGAACGGGCCATGTCCACAGTGCGAGCTGCGAGGAGGGGGGGGGGTGTCGCTCGCAACTCGTTAGCGTCGTCCATTTTCCCATTTTGCCATTTGACATGGAGGAGGGGGGGTATGAAGTGTCTGTCCATGTACCACACACCCCCTTCGGCAACCCCCCCTTGCTTTCCCATCACGCCCCCTCCCGGCGGCCTTACTTTCTTGCCTTATCCCTTGTTTGTACCCAAACCATGCCTGTCTCTTTGCAGCGACTAACCCCAAGCGCCACGGTAGGGTGCGCCGACCGAGCCAAGGGAGTTCCCGCAGGGTAGAAAAGTCTCTCCTTTCCCTACCAACCATACATCATTCGTCCCGCCCGTCTTGTCCTTTCCCGTGGAACCCGCACCAGGCAGGACCGAGACCGCTCCCTACTTAGAACCCGCCCAACCCCGACCTTCCCGACCTTTGGAGTCGGTCGGCTTTGCTCAAGGTTCAAACAACAACCTTGACACATCGTCGCTGGTCCTGCTTTGGACTGAACTAGGCGACCTGCCCACCAGCACCGACCAGCAGCCGACTGCCTTTTCGACTGGCCTCTGACACCTCCAACGCCTCGTTATCGTCGTCACTTGTTGTCTTTGCTGTTGTTGTCGTCGTCGTCCTCCATCTCTGCCTTGTCTGCGCCTGACCACTTGGTCAAATCTCCACCTGGCTTGCTCAGCATTCCTCTGCTGAGAACGTAGGCTCGGCATCCGTAGCCGCGCGAGACAACAAACATTTCCGGGAAAGAAATTGCACAAGGCGACATCCGACCAAGGTTCCTCCCGTACATGGTGCGTGCCGTCACAGAGTTTAGCCACCTGCAGAATCTACTCTGGGCAGGCACATCCACCACGCTCCATCCCGCCTGCCACTTGCTGTGGGGCCCGTCTCTTTAAAACCCGGCCCGCCGCGCCCTTTCAGCCAGCCCGTCTTCTTGCTCTTCCTGGCCACTCACTCTCCCATCACTTCAGCCTCTCCCACCACTCAACTCAAGCCTTGACCCGCACCTGGGTCACTGTCGACACTCACCTTCCAGAGGTCCAGCAACAGGGCCACTACAGAGCAACCATGGCCGACGACAGGAGGGATCGATTTCCTCCCCCTCCTCCTCCTCCTCCTCCTCCCCCTCCCCGTGGGCAGTACAACAACCAATACCCGCCACCTCCCATCGAGGAGGAGGACCGCCAGAGCCGCGTGATTAGAGATCCCCGCGACCTGCGTGACGTCCCCAACGCCGTCACTCTGCCGTCAATCCAGGACTACCCTCCGAGCGGTCCCTCTAGAGGTCCGCCGCCTGCTCTAGAGCCGGGCGCGAGGGGATCGTACTCTGTCTCTCCAGACCAGGGTGCCTATCCGCCGCCTCGTCCAACCTACAGCCTCCCTCCCGTGCAGTCCCTGGCCGATGGCCGTGCATTCGATAACAGGGCACCTGATTCCCGTGGACCGCCGCCGCCGCCGCCGCCACCGCCGCAGCAGGACCCGAGGCAACCCATGGCATACCGCCCGGTGCCACCCCCAGACCCCAATGCATACTACCGTGGACCACCACCCGGGCCGCCTCCTCCGCCCTACGTCCAGGACCCGTACCAGCAGCAGTACGCCGCCTACCCTCAGCCGCAGGTTGGCATCATGGGCTACGACTACAGGACCGGCCCTGGCATGCAGCAGCAGCAGGCGAGCGCGCCGAGGCAGCGCACATCCATCGCATGCAGGTACTGCAGGAAGCGCAAGGTTAGTTCTTTTGCGTGGCTTGTCCAACCTCGGATTTTTTTTTCATCCCATGTGCCATGTTGATATGCACCTAGAATCTCGTGACTGACATGGGTGTGTTTGGCTTGGGATCAGATCCGTTGCAGTGGTTACCAGACCACAGCCGACGGAAAATGTCTCAACTGCAAGAAGACAGGCAACGAGTGCGTGTTCCAGCCCGTTAGCTCGGGCTCGACCGCCTTCGTCCCAGTCCAGGCTATTCAGGGCGGCGTCATCGCCCCGGGCACTCAACTGTTTGGAGCCTTTGGACAGCCTCTCCCCATGGGCGCCCAGGGACCCCCGATGCCGATGCAAATGCAAATGCAAATGCCTGGCCAAGGACCCCCGCCGCGCCACACGCCTCCCCAACTTCCCCTGCCCTCGCCCACCGGAAGCTACTACGAGGAACGTGTCGAGACGGGCAGGAGGAGGCCCCGCGGACCCGAGGACGACCACCACGGCCCCAGGCTGCCGCCTCCGCACCCAGGCCAGATCGAGGAGGACCCGCGCCGCCGGTCTCCCGCCTCGCCCCAGAGCGCCTCTCCGCCGAGTCTGTACCAGGCGCCGTACCCGCCGCGTCCCGCGAGCAACACACCGCCGACTGCTGCTCCCTACCCGACGGCCGAGAGGCCAACCACCTATCCGCCGCGCCTCGAGAGCCCGCCTGCGCCCCCGACCGCCGGACCCAGCACGTCTTCCACCTCATCCTCGGTTATGAGTCTGGGAAATCTGATGGACAACGCGCCGCCGCGCACGGCCCCTGGCAGCAGCAACGGAGAGTCGCGTGACAACATCGATAACTTTATGCTTGGTCGCCTCGGCAGACGCTCCTAAACGGCCCAACCAAGGCATTGCCCACCGCGGTGGGCTTGCCAAGGGCCCCAATTCCGCTCCTCCCCATGCCCGGGACGCGACGGGTCCTCATCTGACGAACATGATTCTTTCTTTACATTTCCCCACACAAGTGTAGTGCGGGAGGGCTAATGGATAATCTCCTTGACACTGGCGACTTGTACTTTTCTTTCTTTGCTTCGCTTTGGCTGCGACGCATCCGTCTTGCCCGTCACGTTCGGCTTGGCCGGCGACGGGCCTCTCAAGGCTGGGATGCCTAGCCTTGCGACGAAATTGCAGGGTACACAAGAGACGGCCTCCACTAATATGGGGTCGGTGGGAACTGGTCAAAATTGGGTCCGCGTTTTCTTTTTATCCTCCACTGCTTCGCCTTTTTACATCCGCTGCGCAATTTCCTTCTGCACATCTATGATTCCCTCCAATCTGCACGGGTTTTCCCTGGTTCTAGCCAGTGAGCGGTCATAGTCCTGTTTCTTGAGCCTCGTTTTTTTTATTGCCCCCGATTACGTATCTACTTTACTTGCACGATTTCCTTTTTCTTCCTCCCCGCGCCCGAGCTCGAGGTACACGAGGCGGGGTGGCTAAGAGTTTGTATTGATGCCTCACGGCGAAGTCTGGACGTCTACTCTTCTTTTTCTTGGTACTCATTTCATTGCTCGTGTTCCCAGGCAACAAAAACACTCTTTGTTCTGGCTGGTGGGGTGGTGATGGTGGGCGGACAAACAAATGAATTTCAATCCTCGACCCAGCTGGCTTTTTCTCTCCTTTTCCTTGTCCATGACTTGCCTTGTTACGCTTCCTCATTGCCGTCCTCGGTGTCCTTTCTTTGGATGGGATGGGCGTGTGTGTGGCCCCCCCCCCCCCCCCCCGATTTTCCAAGATTGAGTCGCGTACGGGCCCAGACCTGGCCGGGTTCAGCAAAAGCCCCCTTTGTGTGTGGTTCTGAAGGACATGATCGGCGGAAAAGCTGAAAAACAAAATTGGAATTCGCAGCGGTTTCGGCCCGGAGTGGTTGGTGGTGCCTTTTTCTTCTCGTATTTTTTTTAGCCCAGCCTCCTCCGCAGGACTGCCAACAGACAACGGCCTCCTGCTCTCGTTTCTTCGCGCTCCTTTCTCCCCCGGATTCTTATCATGACCAATATGATGACGCTAGTATCAAAAAAATAATGACATCTCGTTAGCATTGCTGTCTTGTATCTTCTTGCCTTCTCATTCATTCCATGGGGTCGCGGGTAGGTCCGGCCACCCGCGTCAGGATTCCCAAGACGTGGCCGAGGGACACTCTTGATATGATCCGACCACTCCCTTGCGTCGCCCGGAGACTCGGGTTCGGGACCGAAGGAAGGCCGATGCCGCATGACTAGAGGCAGGTGGACGTGGATGGATGGATGTGCTTCCGTATTGCCTCTGCCAGGTATTCTCTCCCGGCCGTCGCCCTTGTAATCTATAACTTTGTCCATGTTCATCTGAACATGCATCATCCCTCAGGCCCGGCGACGCCCTCCCCCTCCCTCCTCTCTCTCTCTCCCTCCCTCCCTGGCGATCGGGACTGTCTAAATTACATGATCGCTACGCTCCGCGCTGGCGAGTGGGAGAAAGTTGGGGTGAAGAGACACGAGATGACAAGGCAGAATCATCACAAAGAAGGTGGGGTGGACAGGTGGGAGCGTGACTATGGCCAATAAAATGGGAGACTTTTTTTTTTGGGGGCCCCTTCTCGGTTGTTTCCTTCGAAGTAGCCTTGCAAAAGGAATAGCAGGACAATGGACAAAAAAGAAACCAGAAAAACACCGGCGAGGTTCTCACCGGCGGCCGAGCGGCGGCGGGTGACGGACGGGACGCGTCGAGATGGGGAGGCTCGGACGACGTTGCAGGCGACTCGCTCGTCTCTCTTTGTCTCTCCCTTGCTTTCATTCTTTGTTCTCTGCAGCCACGCTGTGCTAGCGGAACCACCCCGGCTCTTGTCGCCCGGCTCTAGCAGAGCAAAGCGGTGACCGATAACGCACTTCCCTAGCTAGATACTATTTAGCGAAGACCGATGGGCCGTGGGCTGGGGGGCGAGGGCTAGACGGCGTGGCACGCCCAGACTAGGACAGGGCAACTAGTAAAAAGAAGGAAAAAAAAAGAAAAAAAAAAGCCTGGTCGGCTCATAGGGGGGGTGTGTGAAGCATGCTTAGCGTCGAGGGCCTTTTGTTGGTTTCCCCTATCCTCTGTCGTCGGTTGTATCCCCCTGTCAGTTGTTGGCGCCAGGCTGGGCTGGGGGGAGGCTTTTGTTTCTTCTCTCCCTTGCGGGTGGCCGCACCGGCCTACGGTCAGCAGACCGACGAAAGAGGAACAGCGCGGGGCGCACAGTGAGCAACATAAGGGGCGGCGGGTCCAATCGTAAGCGCCTGTGTCACCAACATCTGAGCTCCCTCACCCCTTGCTCCCCTGCTCCCCTGCTCCTCTAAACCGATCTGAGATTCCGTCCACAGTGTGCAACAAGAGGCTGACGCCGGAAGAGGAAAGGGGCGTGTGATATTGCGATGGATGGGCTGTGGGAGGGTGGTATTGCTGTCTTGGTGTGTTTGCGGCTTCCCATCCCAGCCTAGCCCAGCCAGCCCCAGCGACGTGCCTTGCGGGGGTGCTGCGTTCTAACCCCAGCCCCCCTGGCGGCCAGCCTCGCGGGCAAGCTAGAATAATAAAAAATCGGGGGGCGATGAAAACAATGCAATAAGCAAGTTGAAGCAAGCAGAAGGATGGATTAGGGGGGGGGGGGGGGGGG